ATTTATGTATAATTTTTCCGCTCTTATGGGTCGCATCGTGACGTTACATAAGAACTTTCTCAATTGGACTATTATATTTAAAAAATGCGAAAGTTTGTACGTGTGTATGTTTGTTACTTTTTCCCGCTGTAGCGGCTGGACTTATGTACTCGTATGTATGTATAACACAAAGAATACTGTTAGACACCAGTCTAGGCTACTGTTAGGTACACACCCGAGTAAATTGAGGGTAGGTAGAATAGCGCCTAGTAGTACCAAGTAGTAAATACTAAAAATTGGTGATTTTTTTTCTAAATCAAACTGGCAGACGCCAAAGCTTATCATAGTATAACAAACAAACTCAGGTTATACATATAATAAAAATCTAAGTGAGCCGAATCGGTACATTAAATATTTTATTGGAAATTCTTATTGAAATAGACATTATTATCAATATAGATGCCGAATCTATACTTTTTTTTTGCATTTTTTTCATGTCTGGGAACGCATCACGAGAAAACCACTGGACAGATTATTATGAAATTTGGTATGATAACTGGTTATCCGGGTCAACATATAGGATACTTTTTACTGCGAGAAAATATGTCATCTCTGAGAAATCTATACTAAACGTTAAAACGTATCTAAGGCCGAACCCGAGCGGAGCGAGAGTGCATCGCTAATCATAAATAATAATATAATAAAAATACAAAATGCTTACAAAAAACAATTCATATCATCATTGATTATTTTCCAATTACATGAATATAAAAGCCATGCATAATATTTATAGGTTTTCCTATGGCGCGTCTGACTGTTACACTCTCTACGACCTACGTGACATTTGTCACCGACTGTTAGTTCTTACACTTTACCGGAGTTTATTATTAGCTGTTTTACTTCACTTATAATTACTCTGGACAAGGTTGTATCAACTATAATAAACATTGTTTGATGGCACGAGAGGTGCGAGAGCTGCGATGGCGTAAAATATATTTTTTGTATCACCTCCAGGTAAATTTTTAAGGAATTCATTAATTTTCTAAGAAATCTATTGATAACTGTAACGCCGGTGTGTCCGCGGTCCTTGAGGGAATATTCCAATAAAGGCTGCACTTCCAGGTAAATATCTAAGAAATTAATTAAATTTCTAAGAAATCTATTGTTAACTGACACACCGGCGTGTCCGTAGTCGTGGAGGGAATAATATCCTTAAAATAATACGCCACTGCAGCTACAGATTTGGCGGGTTTTAAGTACCGCCAATCTACAGCGGAGGCGTTAATGCTTAAGTACCGCACGAGATGCCTAAGCCATTAGAGTCAGAGGATGCTATTTATCAATGTGGATGGATACCTATAGAAGTATAGATAGAAGAAGACTGTGTGAGAGTTGTGTACTGTGTGTGTGCTGAGATAAGAGCTCATAGAGGGAAATGGAAGAAGGATAGGATACATGTTGTATGATCCCACGTAGCTTGGTATAAGGATTTGGGGAACAAGTAGGAGATCCCTAAGCCATTTTTAAAACTGATTCCTACTCTACATTTACGTAAGAAGCTTCGTTTTGACTACACGTATATGCATAACATATAGATACAATGAATATTATGTCATTATGTCGCAATTTCCCAAGAAAGAGGCGGTCTGCTGCCTTTTTGTTTTTTAACCATGGACTTATTCGGCATTTTCATGGTAAATTTATGGCAGCGAAATCTAGAAATATAAACCACATTACAACTATGACCAATTTATTATACTCCCGTCACGCTGAAAACTAAATTTGAATGTTAATAGTATAAGAAATCGGAAAAAATATACCATAAATTCGAAAGCGTTAAAAAACACTTTCTCAATCATGCCATATCGCGTGTTACTGATATTTTTAATTACAATTTAGATTATAATATAGGTGTTGCTGTAATCTTTGAAATATACCTACTTGTTATCATAAAACTTTATAGACTACAACATTAACATTTTAGCATTTAGTATAGATTCCTCAGAAATGAGATATTTTCCCGCAGTAAAAAGTATCCTACGTTGATCCGGATAAGCCAGCTATCATCATACACAAATTTCATCAAAATCTGATGTGATGCGTTCCCAGACAGACAATTTTTTTAAAAAACTATAGTTTCGGCCTCTATATCGGCAACAATGACTACTTCAATAAGGTTTTCCAAAAAAATATTTTATGTACAGATTCAACTTAGTTAGAATTTTATTAATTGTATAGACTAGCGATTTATCCTGGCTTCGCTTGGGTGAGAGCGTAGGTGCCTACTCTGCCTAGCATTAGCCTAAGTATTACTCCAAGACATAGCCCATCTAGTACAATACATCCAAAACCATTTATTTAGCTGTAACATCGTGAATGACCAACAAAAATACACAGCCATCTTCTGTATGTATCTATAATAGATTAATTTATTAACTGAAAAACTTTTAATATCAAACTACGCTTGTATCGTCAAGCAATATCATAAAGCAAAACGTGTTTGCCACATCCCAGCAGGTAGCGCAAGACATGTGTTGCAATATATATTTCATTAACAATAATTAGAACTTTATTAATAGACATTTTTAACGAATCCATACTAATATTATAAATGACAAAGTAAGTCTGTATGTCTGTTACTTTTTCACGCTTAATCCGCTGAACCGATTTAGATGAATTTTGGTTTGGAGGTGTTTTTATAGTGCAAATTATCCCTTAAGGGGGTAAATAGGGGGAGGAAGTTTGTATGGGGAAGCAACTTAGGGACGAACCCGAGCGATGCGAGGGCGAGTCGCTACTATATTATATAGTCTATCTATTTTACACTAACCGTAATAAATGCAAACACATTTAACAACAGATCTTGAGGTTCATCCAAAAACGTTGTCATTACTATCGACAGTGCTATTAGCAACAAAACGTGTCAAGAGATAAATTTCATACAAACTGTTTCGAAACATTTTAAGTCTATTGTATTATAATATATTTTTCAACCGATTTCAAAAAGGAGGAGGTTCTCAATTCAACTGTATTTTTTTTTAATGCAAACAAGTACTTATTGCTTATTGGATAAGGAAAAGTATTTTGCATAGAACATGACAGTAATACACTACTATAATAGTAGATGCCGAAATTTTTATCTGTGTGTAAGTTTGTTACTCCATAATAGTGCAGCAGCTGGACGGATTTTGATGGAATTTAGTATACAAATAGACTGACCTGGAGTACCTAACACATAAGCTACTAAACTATAAGAAATATATAAGACAAGAAAATTGACGTGTCTGTTTGTAATGTCAAAAGTAAATGCATATGAAAGTATATATGGTACTAATAAGAAAAAAACATACATATTAAAATATTTTTTTGAAATTTAACAATTATCAGAAAAAAAGGTATTTTTTATGATAAACTAATAGTGAAGGAAAACATTATAAGAAAACCTACACGTCTGAGAGAACATAGCAAGTTTTTTAGACTTATGAAACCTCGTGCCCAGCAATGGGATTGTAAAAATATTATATATACTAGTGACTTAGCCTCGCTTCGCTTCGCTCGGTTGCGTACCTTAATTTCTTTCTAAAATAAAAGTAGCATAAGGTACCCATTATAACAACATCAGGTAACTGCCAGTGAAAGTCCCGTAAAAATCAGTCCAGCAGTTTCGGAGATTGGCCGGAACACACAGACAAAAATGTTAAAATTGTATTTATTATTATAACTACTGTATATATGCATTTAGTAAAACACTTTTATTTCGACATTACCAACAGAAACTTCGATTTTATTTATCTGCATAGATAAGAAATAATATGTAAATCTTCTTTAGAATTTCATGAATAACAAAAGTATGTTTGTTATTTAAAATGCTATTATTGTTATACTGTTTCCTTTTAAAAACAATGGACTTCTTAATTTATTAACAGGTCATGGCCTCATCCTATATCTTGTTTAATTATTGCTTACTTTATAAAACAACATATAATAAATATTTTTATGAGTCATATACAAGTCCATACAATTCAATGAACTTGCCAGCCACTGTTCGCTTTAGTTGTTCAATATATCTAATATTATAAAGAGGTAAAGTTTGTGAGATTGTGACGTTGTAGAGGGTAATCTCTGGATCCACTGAACCGATTTAGATGAAATTTGATAAGAAGATAGTTTGAGACCGTGGGAAGGACATAGGATACTTTTTATCCGGAAATCATCCCTTAAGGGAGTGCAAATGGGGATCAAAGTTTGTATGGGGAATCAAGCTAGGGACGAACCCGAGCGAAGCAAGGGTGAGTCACTAATGTCTCATATTTTTACAAATATATTTTGAAATATAATAGGGGATATACAGAATATATGTTAATAATTAAAATTGGCTTAGGTTTACTTAATATAGCCATTTGCATAAAATAAAAGGCACTCATTTTTACATTTATAATATCACAAATGGCTCACCCTCGCTTCTCTCGGGATCGTCCCTAGGTTGTTTTAACAGTTAGTATGGTATAGATAGACTATACATTATATATATGATGAGTTGTTATGGGTTTTTGTTATACTATAATTTATAACCAGTTTTTCCATAGGAATGATTATCTCTTATGTGGTAAGAATTAGCCTATGTCCTCCAGCTATCTTTACACAAAAACAGATATGAAAGAAGGACAGACAAACAAACACACTTTCACATTTATAATATTAATAGTAGTGTTGAAGTATGGATTGACACAAGGCAGTGAAATGATGAATGAGCTAAATATCATTCATAGCATCATTTTTATATTCATACTTTTAAATTAAAATTAAAATAAAGAATTTCGAAGCAATATCTTTTTTTCTTGTTTTCATCATACAGTTACCTTCATTTTTTGTAATAAATTTATGATAATTTATAACATTCCTAACTATTAGGCATTTATAAAACCACAAAGCAAATAAACATCAAAAGAATATAAGTAACAAATAATACCTAATTAAGACTTAATTAAAAAAATAAGTAGACTTAAAAAAAGTTAACTCACCTTCTTAGCTGGCAACTTCTTCTTTTGCAATTTTCTCTTTTCATTTAACAGCAGTCCTGTATATTCTTCTCCTATGTCACACTCCTGTATATTGTCTATGGTATCACACACATTAGCACTGTCCACTTCATCTACACTGTACAAGCTATTGTCAGTTAAATCACCAAAAGTCCTCGATAAACTAGGGGACAATTTACAAGTGGAACCACATTCTCCATTTTCAGAATCAGATTCATCGCTTTCATCACTCCCGAAAACATCATTTGATAGGTAGCAATTATCCGGTGTGTCAGCAAACACTATGGAATCTTCCGACTCACAGTCCGATGATAGTCTACGTCTAATATTTGAAGGTTCATCGGCAAATACAATTTGGAAAGAATCATCACTGTCTACTGACGAAGACACGAATTTCCCAGCGACTTCATTAAAATAATCACTGTCTTGGGAATCATTAGACATTTGAAGTTCTGTAGTTTCAGCAATGACTTCTCGTATTGGTATGGGTTGTGTTTCTATCATTTGGTTTTTTTCTGCCTTGTTCCTTTTTGATTGTAATAAAGCCTTTATTTTATTTATCTTGTCATCACAAACTGACACAATATCGTTCGTTATGGTTCTCTCTATACTTTTTACATTATCATTCACATCATTACATTTGTTTACATCTAAGTCTGTAATAATATCCATGGATTCTTTTATATCTTCAGTTTTAATTTTACAACCTTCTGCCTCCATAAAATGCTCATCATGATAGCTATATGGGCAATAGCATTCAATATTTGCATTACTAGGCAGATTAGTACAGTTTTCTGTGCAGAAAGCATCTTCAAAGCTATCTTCTACTGATCCAGGCTCAACCAAAATCTTTTTCGGTCTTCTTGATTGATATTTTGTATTTTGACTATTGTTTTGTTTACTATTACTCAGCAACAAACGTACCTGGTTTAATTTCTCTTGACAATTGCTAGCAGCTATTTTACAGTCAACATTCATTGTTACATCCAAATTTGTATAAGAATCACTACTAAATATTGAATCAGTCTGTTCATTTTTATTTTGAACCTCAAGTTTGGAAGACTGCCAGATTGGTGGCGCCATCTGCTGGTCATCATACTCCTCAAAACAGTCGTCGTATTGAGAAGAAGAATCTGAGCCTTTATTAAACAACGCGCCCATATTGTTAAACATCCCAGTAACAAAATTAGCTATAGTTGCAAATGATAGATAATAATCCGACCTTTGATTTCTCGATCCTTGAGGTTTCACCTCCGCGTAATCCTTTGTTTCCAACATTGTCTTCTTTTTTACTTCACCAGTTATCACAGAGTCAGCCAGATTCTTTTTCAGTGGATCTGGTATTAAATGTAGGTTATTTATAATCAAATCGTCTCCAAATATGTGTTTCATATCGTTCTTTGTGTGGGCGTCCGTCGAATAATTAGATACGGAAAATTGATTCCGAGGGAAACTTTTTGAATCTAGAAGGTTGCGCGTATTGCGCGTATGACTAAAATTATTCATTATCACTATTATATAAATTCAATATTCACAAATATACACTAATTATACAGGTCTAAAGAGGATGCTAAGGCGTTGTTGTTTACGCGAACATGTTCAAATCATACATTCGACACTTACAGTAAGTATTTTCAGGCAAAGGCTTGGAAATTATTCTAAAACACTTGATAAAATTTTCCTTAGCTCTCTGAGGCATCCGAGGTCCTGAGTCGTAGAATATCACTTCGTCGATTTTACTACACACTGTATCTCCACAAGTGATGTCTGTAACGTTGGAATAGCTCGCTAATAAATTTTCTTGAGAATAATAACTGTTAATGTGCTCCATTGTAACGATAATTAAAATACACGTCTGTTATAGTTTAGCCATTTTGTAAAAGTTCCAAATTTAATGTCGCTGTGTAATGTGTATTATAAACAGGTGTACAGATAAAAAATAAATTATAAAACATTCGATATAATATTATTTGCAATCGATTCTAAAATCGATTCTTAAGAAATATTGTATTCCATTATCAATTTTATTCAAAATATGTGATATATGACATTTGACAGCTCGTTTGGTTCAGTTTGTAGTAACCCTGCTTGCTGTGCCAGCGGTCGCGGGTTCGGGTCCCGCTGGGGGCATACATTTGTGTGATGAGCACGAATGTTTGTACTTCAGTCATGGGTGTTTATATTTATAATATGTATGTATTTAAAATTATATATATGTAGTGTATAAACTGTCTGGTATCCATAACACAGGCCTCGTAGCTTACCATGGAACTAGATGGTGCTGTGTGTTAATGTCCTAACATATTTATTTATTTATATGAGTATTGAGTAACAGACAAAAATATATTATCTGAATTGAAAACAAAAATCAAACCCTTTCATCACTCAAAAAGCAATTTAATCTAAATCCGGCAAACTTTATTTCATTCCATTTTCGGACGTCGATGTTTTAAAAGACAAAGATGATGAACGCTTTTTACTTGAATACAATTATTTAGCAATTTAAAGTTTGTAGAATATGTAGTCAAAATAAAATGATTATTAAAAATATGTTTATTTTTATTACTACTTAAATTATTTATTCATGTAAATTATAAAAGAATAATTAATTAATAATATTTAAGTCCCTTAAAACATTTGCGCGTGGGAATGACGTGAATTTTGTAAATAAATTATTTTATTTGTTTCCTTGTCGTAAAAAAAACTGAGTTTTCATTCTATATTAAAATTCGAATATTAAAATATATACACTAGCTGGGGTACCAGGCTTCGTCCAGAGAGTAGATGAGATTGTGTCGTAGTTTAAATATTTTTTTTATTGAACACTGTTCTAACTATTTACAACACTTGTTTATAAACAATATTTTTCATTTTTTATCCGGGGTATATACATACAAATTTTTCGAAATACCTACTCCAGAGCAAACTACATACATAATATTATAGTTGACCGTGAAAAAAGCAGAAGTCTTTGTGAGATCAAAGAATATATGGGGTGCTTCGGGATATTCGCAAACATTCCACAACATTCCTGAATGTTCCGGGATTTTCTGGAATGCTTTCAAACGCTCTTGAATGTTCTATACTGTTCTAGAAATTTCTAGTGGGTGAAACCTCCAGCATTTTTATCTTCAAAAACACGCCGTTTTTTTGAGGCATTCGTCCAACAAGTCAATATCGATTTTTTCAATCACGTCATAAGTATCAACATTTCAATCGATACATCGACAATTTCCGGGTATTCATTTCATAGATAAGTCATTCTTTCTGATGCAATAACTTGCTTATGGCTGGAAATGCATTATTATTTTTATTAGTCATCCACGATTGTTTATTAATATGGAGGGTAGGATAAGGAGAATCATCTTATATGGGAGACAAGATGTTAAAGTGTCCACCTATAATAATAGTTCAAAAACCTTCCAGAATGGCGCTAGCGTAGATGCAGGGTATGGTATGAATAAAGCAGTTGTAGACCGAGTGAAGTGTGCTGAGTTGAAAATTAATGTAATATTTTTAGGTGACTAAAATAAATTACTAAATATAACCTAATAAACTGCTATGAGATAATGTAATCCTACTTTAATAACTTTAGCGCTTTTTTTAAGCTTACCATCTTGATATAATAGCGCCACCCTAATTTATCGCTTTTCGACGGACACTTTTTCATCCCAGAGATAGTTCTCCTTACCTCTACTCTCAATTTATCTATATATATAAAAGAAAGTCGTGTTAGTTACACAATTTATAATTCAAGAACGGCTGAACCGATTTGGCTGAAACTTGGTGGGGAGGTAGCTTAGAACCAGGAGACGGACATAGGACTTTTTAGCCCGTTAGAACGACTGGACCAATTTTTATGATATTTGAATTTTTGGATTTCTCTCATTCCGGAATAGGTTAATACCTAAGTATTAAAACGTCAGAAAAATTGACGAAAAAAAAATTATATGGCTAATAACACTGGCTAATAACTATTTATATCTATTTAAAACGTACCTAGCGACGAACCCGAGCGAAGCGAGGGTGAGCCGCTAGTTTTTTATATTGAAAAGCCAGAAAAGCTTGATGAGTCCACAAAAGGGAAAGCAATTATTTTTTAACTACCGTGGATGAATTGAATATTGTATTGCATGACAATACATCATGCAAAATGATCATACGAACATTATAAATAGCACAGTAATAATTTACACTATATTATTGCTTAAGTTTTAATTATTTTAAACTTATTATTTATAAGATATTGTATAATAATATATTGATATTTTATGATAATGATTGTAAATGTGAAAGTGTGTTTGTTTGTTTGTCCTTTTTTCACGTCGAAACGGAATAACGTATTGGTGTGATTTTTTGTGTGGAGATAGATAAATGGAAGGCTGGAGAGTGATATACTCAGACCAATTAAAAAGTATAGCCGGAGCCGTTGTAAACAAACGCGACGAAATAAGTTAGGCAAAATTTTGGCTTTGTGTACGTAACTCGGTGAAAGATAGCGTAGATTTGCGCATTGTGCTAGAGAAAAATGTTGCAAGCGTTGTGCTTACACTTCTAAGTGCGAGAGATATGCTTTGGCGAAAAGTTTTATTATAGGTAGTATTGTTTTTTATTTGCCTTGATTACATGAATCATTTATTCTTACATAAAAATAATGAGTAATTTAATAATAAGACCACACAAAACTTACATAATATATTAGAATAATTATAACTAATTTGACGTGTTTTTTTTTGTTTTTTTTTTGTGTTTTCCTTTAACCTTCTGATTAAGTGTTTTGAATTTGCGTGCATGAATTTGATAACGCAATTTATACTTTCAAGCTTGTTGTCAGAGTTTATTTCTTTTGGGAGTGTCAAATATTGATTCTAGTTCGGAATCACGTTTTTTATAAATACTTTTGTTTAATAATATACCTAATATACTCGAAAACTAAAATACAATAATAAGATTTAAATAAAATAAGTTGTAACAAAATTATATTATGTAATTGTAAAAAATCACAACTTCCCTTACTTTTGGGAAAACATAATGTTCTTAACTAGCAACATTGACACAATGGCGTCTAGAATTCGTGTTGGGAGAATTATGTTAAATATTTTTGCGATTTTGTTTAAATTATACAGAAACTCAGTTACTTGTGAGAAGTTAACCTAGAAGACTTTTTTTGAAAACATGAATTGTTTTTGCAGCAGTTTATGACACAGGCCGGCTTAATGTTGCAATTATTATTTTACCAAAAGCACGTCACGCACTCTCACTCACTCGCGGCCGCCTACCGAGTGGCCATCTTCATATGGCTGAATCGTCTTCATATTACTTGCCTCACTTTTTGTGCGCAATGCTCTATTTATATTTTTTTATTGGTCTGAGGTGATATAGGCTACTTTTGACAATGAGAGATTATCTCAATAAATACGTGTTTTAGCAATTTTCGAAATTCAACTCATAAGGAGGTAAAATAAGTCAAAAAAGTTTGTATGAAACCTACTTTTATTATAGTTTTTTTGTAGTTTAAGCGCGAGCGAAGCCGCGAGTTCTGCTAGTATTTAATATTTTTTTGTGCAAAAATTAAAATTACTGGTACTTATATAGAGTGTAGATATAAAAATTATATGTTTTTTAAACACATTCTATTTGACAATTATAAAAATCAAAAATCCATGGACATGATTGTCGAAATGTGGAAAAAATTTTGATAGTGTAAAATTTAAATAAAAAATACATAAAAAAATAGAAAAATAAGAATTATTAGTGTAAAAAACAACGTGACTATTTTTTGTATAGTTTTGAAAATTAATTTGGCTACTATAATAATCCTTCATTTATCAACTTATTATGGCAGAAAGAAAAAAGTAAGTTTTTTATTGATATTTCCTTATGAGCGCGAAAAATTTAAGCTCAGTACATCTTTGGATCTACTCGACCTACTGAAATAAAACCACTTAAAAGCAACACTAGCAGAAGTATAATTAATAATATGTAATATTAAAGTGAAAACCACTTCTTATACTGGGTTTATACTTTGTAACTAGCGACTTGCGGGTTACCCTCGCTTCGCTCAGGTGCGTCCCTTATTCCCCCCCAACGTGCGTTCACCTTGTCGTGGTGGGGGGGGGGGGGGGGCTTAGTAGTGCCCGGCAATCCAACAGGGCGCGAAGCTAAGAAACGCACAGGGAGGTTGCCCATTTCGGTGGGCGGTGGGAGGTGGCCCTCTTCGGGGGGTGGTGTACCTTGCGGGTTGCTCCTGGTACTTCTCTGATAGCAGAGTGGACCTTGGAGCAACCCCATGGTTGTGGTGGTCTGCTTCGGCAGACCTGCCGTCGGGGCGTCGTAGTTGAATGCGTAAGCGATCCTGCGACACCCCATTAAGACGAGGGAAGGTTTTGTTGGGTTTTAGTGGGTAGTACTGGCTGTATTACGCCGGTGAGTCCCACACGTCGTGCGTAAATGCATTTCCCAACGTTAAAAAAAAAAGGTGCGTCCCTTATCCCTAGGTACGCAGTTTCTGTCCACAATTTTTTGTTTAATATTTTTTGCGCGGAATCCTTATTCTTTTTCTAAAATAAAAGTAGCCTAAGTTACTCCTTATAATATCAGCTATCTGCTAGTGAAATTCCTATCAAAATCGGTCCAGCCATTTCGGAGATTTGCCGATTTAGTAAAAAGCTGTTATTTCAACATTACAAACGGATACAGGCATTAATATGCTGAAGAATAATTACTAAGCAAGCGGTATGTATGTTTACACATTCGTATCCTAACAACATTTCTTAATCTTATGCCTATTACGGGAATAGTTATGAGTTCGATCCCCCTTTTTTTTAACGTGTGGAAACCCCTGTTCCCGGATACCTGCCGCTTTGGGGAAAAAAATAAATAAATAAATAGGTATAATATAATATCGTGTAGATAAGAGCATGTTAAAGCATCATCTCTGCCTACGTCCAGTATCTCCTCTCGTGACCAATTATGGGCTCTATGGTTTGTGAGAGTGAAAGCAATAGTGAGTTCACCTTGTTTTTGCTCACTTGTATATTAAAATTTCTCTTACGCAGATAAGAGATGAGAGAGAAATTGGTAGGTTTATTTATATAATAAATAAAAGTAGCCTAAGTTACTCCTTATAATATCAGCTATCTGCTAGTGAAATTCCTATCAAAATCGGTCCAGCCATTTCGGAGATTTGCCGATTTAGTAAAAAGCTGTTATTTCAACATTACAAACGGATACAGGCATTAATATGCTGAAGAATAATTACTAAGCAAGCGGTATGTATGTTTACACATTCGTATCCTAACAATATTTCTTAATCTTATGCCTATTACGGGAATAGTTATGAGTTCGATCCCCCTTTTTTTTAACGTGTGGAAACCCCTGTTCCCGGATACCCGCCGCTTTGGGGAAAAAAAATAAATAAATAAATAGGTATAATATAATATCGTGTAGATAAGAGCATGTTAAAGCATCATCTCTGCCTACGTCCAGTATCTCCTCTCGTGACCAATTATGGGCTCTATGGTTTGTGAGAGTGAAAGCAATAGTGAGTTCACCTTGTTTTTGCTCACTTGTATATTAAAATTTCTCTTACGCAGATGAGAGATGAGAGAGAAATTGGTAGGTTTATTTATATATTACCATACAAAAATCTCCTATTACAGTACATAAACGGTGAACAAAAATAGCAAGTTTATCCATCTAACAGGTCCCAGGCTGCCGGGGATGCGCCAGAGAAGAAGAAAGATGACAAATCAAAAGTTAGAATCAAAGAAGAACTTCCACCAGAACTAGAAGAAGAAATACCGAAGACTCCATCGCAAATTGCGCGAGAGTAAGTTTTAATTGAATACCTGCTAGAAATAAATAAATAGAGTACTTATATTAGCCTGTATTTTAAGGCATAATTAGGCTTAGAGAATATTCAGAATCATTCGTTGATTCATTGGATTAATATAAATTTGACATTTATGATTTTGTTATTATATGCTGCTTTTATATAGGGAAGCTGAGTCTCGAGCAAATCTCCGTAAACAACGTTTTAAGCGGCGATGGCCAGAGATATCGAAAGTCCGAATAGTGACCAAACCATGGCATCCCCCACCCCCACCCCAAAAGATGCCAAGAATAGTAAGTTCGAATTACTTATTATAATGTATATTATATGCGTAAATATATCTACTACCTAAGAAACAGCGAAAAAAAAACTGCGAGAAAGAGTCCAAAGCAGTATAAAATAATTATTCTGCTTTTGACCAAAGCGCCACCTACAATGTACAGTTTTTGATTTTCTTTTCCAGTACTTAATATTATATCTAGTATATTATGAGACTTTGTCATTTTTCCCGTACTTAACAAATATTGTTATTATAATTCTTAGTTATTTTAGTCAATAAAATGTAGAATTTTCTGTAAATTTGACTACGATGCCACCATATTCCATACAATGTGGGATATGTACAGATACATACATATATGTATTTAAATTACTAGTTGTATTTTGGGTCTTCAGTAATCCTATACATCATCTCTCATCTGCCATCTGTCAGACGTGTACCTATACAACTATGCGACAGTTGATCAAAGTTTTATCGGAATCGAACGAATGGTTTAAACAGACATGACAGACAAACAAAAGACAAATTTTACGTTATTTGTATTAACATACTATATAGGTTATGACATATACTATCACGTAACGACAATAATTTATATGGATTAGAAACTACCCGCTTACGCTTGGTTTAAAACCTAACGGTGTACTAAGCCCAACTCAACATAACCAGAATGACCAAAAATATACTCAAGACACATGGGAGTTTTTGGGTGCAGTTAAGAATATTATATTTCCATCAGATGATAGATTTACCAAAACTGATAACGCGCAAATGGGTACCGCCACATATGAGAAGAAGACGACGTCGTGGGAAGCTGCCGAGAATACCACCAGAGGAGATGACGCAACCCTTATACGAATGTACTAAGCTGAAAAAGGTGAGACTTTAATGTTTGGTTGTGATGCAATTGTTTTGAGTGTGATTCATTAATTAGTTATGTTGATTAGTAAAAAATGTCCAAGTTGAATCTTAGATTTACGCGAATATTTGACATTATAAATAAAATTTTGTGATTCCAAAAAGGTAGTTTAGATTTAAAACTTAAATTTTATGTTGTTAGCTAGTTAGTTGAAAGTGTGGAAATTTTATCTACATATAACATATTGATATATTATACTCTTATGTTTAAATGTCATAAATTCAATTCAATTCTCTTGATAGCTTCAAAGCGTGCCAAATGAGCACAGATTGTTTCGCCAATGTCACGAAGAATGAGAGTCACAAATTAATGCCATTTTTGTTCATTTAGATATGGCATAACTTCTGTCAAGTGGAAAAGAACAAGATGATATTACAAGGCAGTATTGGTTGTAATTCGAAGAAGTATTCTTCTACTGCGTGTGGTAAGTATAATATATATGGGACTATTAATATAATTGCGAAAGTTTGTCCGTATGTTTTTTACTCCTCCTGAAACGGTCATTTGGATGTTTGCTGGGAGTTAAGTGTTATCCAATTTTCTAATTTTTGTGGCTCTTAGTCCCAGTTTTCGATACATACAAGATGAATGTTTGTTTGTCAGCGATATATTTTAACCCTGACAGCGATTTATACGAATATCGATATTTATATACGAATACTTTTTTTGGTATAAAGAATTTAGTAAAGATTCTTCTGATTGTAATTTTTCTAGTAATATCATTTGATTTTTATTGCCTTTTGATTTGTAGCTGAAAACTAAGATGGCCTAAATAACTGACGTTCGCATCCTTGTCAGTTTGAAATTTATTATGGTGATTCTTTAACTTAACATACTTTTGTAGTTATACCTACTGCTTTTGGCACATGTAGAAAAAAATATGAGAGTAGAATTTTAACGATGCGCGCGTACACCGACAGCCAAAAAGCGACATGATGAAGTGAGTTGCATTCCTTTTGCAAACAGAGAGTTGTGACATACGGGATGAAATCTTTAGCTATTTTTGTTCTGTTACGCAAAAAAAGTATAACTTCTTACGTGCATATATAAGTTACCCACACGTTTTTTTTAATTTATGAACCGATTGAAATAAAATAAATACTAATTTTAAGACAAGCTTACCACAATACATTAGTAAAAACCACACCCAAATCGGGTATGCTTACGCGCCAATGGCTTACCATTTCCGAGATTAGCGCGCACAGCAAACGCACAAGTTTGGGCTCTATTGCGTTAATAAAGACCCCCAATAATAGTTGTTCTCGAATATCTTCCATGTACAGACAGCGATCAGTTATAGATGTGATGTAGAAATTTCAAAATAGGAGTAAAATTAATTCCGGCTTTATATATTTTTGTTTGTATAATGATATTCATTCACATATTACTTTGCCAATGTCACGTACAATGAAGAAGACACGAGAGATTGGTCGGTAGAATAAGATCATTTAATTATATTCAGATATAACAAGTAAATTCCTCAAAAACCTTGGACCTACAACAAAAGACAGCACCATAATGCCATATATATGTTGGTCTTTAAGTGATTTTAATGATTATTTAATGAATATGTTAATTCTAGAATTTGAAGAGGCTTCTAAAATGTCTTCCCCCAAAGAATGCTTTTGAAATATGAAGTGAAGGGTTTTTTTATAAAATATAATTGTTTTAGGTTCTCAAACCGCCTGCATAGCAGTTATGTGCAGGGCTCTGCTAGAAGAGAAGACTCCAGCGGATTTGATTAAGCGCGACGTAGACGAATTGATTGAGGCCGGTGATAGATACTACAAGCAGTGTATGTTAAATATGAAATGTTATAAGGGTACGTATGTTTTAATAGTGGAATTTTGTGTTTAGCTAGTATTTAACCGAATTTGATAAAAGTAGGTATTGTATTTATATAATTTGTTTGTATGTCTGCGAATTTGTCTTTAATTAAGTAACTTACATAATATATGATTGTGACGGCGTTTGGAAATTGAAATCGTAAGAATTTTTGTGTTTTTAATGTGATTTCCTCGCAAATTATTCATCGATATTAGATATTATTTTTACCTTTAAAAATTGACAATTAATTTTTGGGTTGTTCAAAGTTTCATTGATTTTGGGTTAACATTAAACCATCTTTAAATAAACTAAGAAATAGGTATAGAGTTTTATGTAAGTTTAAAAGCCGAGGGTAATTTGAGCTTAATTAAGCTATGGTCCAAAATTACCGAAATTGTATGATTTTTTGCATTTTACATATACATTAATAAATAATAATTATTAATAGAATAATAATTTAACAGGAAAGCCACAGTTACAACTCAATCAACTCCTAACGTCATTCTTCTTTCACGACAATAAGTATACAGTGAAAATGGTTGAATTGGAAAATGGCTTGTTGGCAAAACATCCGGACAATATACAGACAGAACCAGACTTGATGGCGTTAGTTTTATTATGGACTAGTAGCATTGCCCGCGGCTCCGCTCGCGTTCGGACGACCAAAAACCAAATTCTTAGGTTTTACATATTAGTATACTCTTACAATGCAGTTTTTATTTTTTCTTAGAAATGAGATATTTTCCCGCGGTAAAAAGTATCCTATATGTTGATCCGGACAACCAGCTATCATCACGCCAAATTTTATCAAAATCTGTCCAGTGGTTTTCTCGTGTTGCGGTAACAGACAGACAGACGAAAATTCTAAAAACTATAGATTCGGACTCTGTATCAATAATAATGTCTATTTCAATTAGATCTTCCAAGAAGTATTTAGTGTACAGATTCGGCTTACTTACAATTTTATTATATGTAGATGCTCTGTTTACAGTAACTGCCTATTTTGGTGTAAACGCATATGAATGCCCAATTAAGAGATGTTTAATACTACAAAATATCTAAGACTACTTATCACTGATGTGATAGAAATAAAAGTGCATATAAGTAAAAATATCACAAAAAAAAGATCAATAGTCTGAAATCAAACTATCTTTCCGGGGTTTTTCGCGGATTTATTTTGATTTTTGGTTCCCGACGTTTCGAATGCTTTATAGTTTAGCTTTAAGAAGTATCTCCTGCACGAAAATTCAGAACCTAATTTCACATTCACAGTTTGATGGAAAAGCGTGTAGGAACAACATTCATGATAATATTGTCGGTTGGCGATCGACATTTCCTTCTATGGGGCCACCCCCCGCCACCAGAATCTGGGAGTCAAGTCAAGACTGTATGTTATATATTCGATCCTCATATGTTAAATGAATTGGGACAACCACATAAGTTGTAAGTATTTAGTTTTTTTTGGATTTCTTATACTGAAATATACCAACTCTTTGAGTGTTAGGAAATCAATATTCAATAAAAAAATCTCCTAAATTTTTATGTTTTGCTTTTTTTATAAATAATTCGGTTAAAAAAGAATTCTGATTTTACGTGGCTCATTTTTGTAAGAGTAGGTCCAAATATTAATACATAAAACCCTTACGAAGGGGATACGGAGAGGCCCGTGCCAAAAAGGGCTGAATTATTATTATAATACTAAATACTTATAATAATAATGTCTAGAGTAATTAACAGATTTGGCGCTGGAGCATTTCTAAGGTATGCTGGGATCACGTCTTTTGTGTTGGACTTTTTGGCAAACTACGGAGATCTGGAGGCGGCCAAGAAAGGCACACCAAAACCCGCCATCACGATAACTAGTATTGATGTAAGGAATTTAAATATCTTTGTTCTTTTCCTTATTTTGGTCTTCTTTTATCGTCTTTTAAAATTTTTATGTTGCTTTATGTGTCTATGATGCTTACATAAGTAAATAATTACACTAGCACCCACCCTCGCTTCAATCTCTCGGTTCGTCCCTAGGTACGCTTTAACGGTTAGTGTGGAATAGATAGACTATATATTATAATATAAATCCTATTGCAATCCTCAATAAACGGGCTATCTAATGCAAAAAGGATTTTTTAAATCGGATTAGTAGTTCCTGAGATTAGGGCGTTCAAACAAGCAAACAAACAATCAAACCCGGCCTCTTTATAATATTACTATAGATGTATTTTAAATATACCCCTTCCGACTTCTTAAGAGAAGGTATTGTTACGCGATATCTTCATCAAATCTGAAACGATTTTTATGAAGTTTCTTTTATTGATTAGATTATATTTAAATTAATTCGTAAGAATTTCCACTCCTTATGAAGAAAAAATACTTTTATAATAATATGCGGTGCCCTAGTTAGTTAAAAAACCACTTTTACTCTCAGGTGGTCCAAACAGAACCACTACTGAGAGAACCAAATTATGAACTAGACCTCAAAGCCTTGAAGTTTCACTGCAAAAGTGAATGGGAAAGTGTGAATATGAACGCCTTAATTGAGAAGAAGTTAAAGGAAGTAAGTATAGTTGCAGTCGAAATTTATTATATATACGTTTAATTAATGATATAGTAACTTAGCGAAATCTGTACATGAAATATTTTTTTAAAACAATAGAATGTAGTCTCTAAAATATAGACCTCAAAACAATTATTGAATTTTTTGTCTGTTTGTATGTCTGTTTATCTGTATATTTCACGAAAAACGTACTGCGTTTTGTGTAGTGATTGTTTAGTACTAGGGTCAACATTTAGGATACCTTAAAAGGTATCAAAAGTAAACTACAGGAAAATCTTTAAACACGTAACTGTCGAGTCGTCCGTAGAAATAAACATGGCCAACGCTGGCTAAACCTTAAGAGATACATCAAAACAATGTACTAGAAAATTGTAGTTCTAAAAAAGGCCTACAGAAAAGTCTGCAATGGCATATGTCTATTTCCTAAGATACGCTCACAATAACAATCTTACTATTATTAATGTGAAAGTTTGGTAGTGTAGATGTTTGTTACTCTTTCACGCCAGAACGGCAGTTTAGTAACAAACATCCAAACATCTAAACATCTAAACTTTCATATTTATAATATTAGTATAGATAGGTAACTTTAGTATTGTTGTTAGGGAAAGTACCCGCATGGTTCTTTAAGTGCAGTAAGTTTGGCGACCTCAAGAGCTACGTCTAGAAAAAAAGTTCAGGACTTTTATCAGAAGACACCGAAGGAAGTATGTATTCCATTTTATTTTTAGTATTTTTTTTTTTTTTTTACATTGTACTGTAAAAGATTCTTTTATGTTGGATTATTCAGGTCTTTATATAAAAAAAAATTATGGTTTATTTTTTCTTTTTAGTTAAAAAAGCCTTTTTAATTTATTTTACCCTTTTTGGTCAACGTACATTTTTTTTATTTGGATAATTTTCTTCTCCATCCTCCATCCCCTCCTCCTCGAAACCATGTTCTACATTCTTATATAATTTTTAGCCTCCCCCTCAACTCCCCGTTCCTCCAGAACGTCCTCCAGGAGGATATACTCAGGAACAAATAATGCAACTCCGTGGTGAAGATTTCTTTCTCTATTGTCCGAAAACCGACGGACATGCTTATGGGAGGTAAGTGCAATGGAAGCGTGGTTAGGGAAGTTTCGTTATCATAGATAAGCATATTTCTTTAGGTAAATACTTGGATGGGTGGCCATTTACTGGAATACCAATTGAGTAGTACTAAATAATTATGACAGAGGTCGTTGTTTTATTATAGTCATTCAAATGTGACAGGCTTTAACGTTGACCTCCTTCTAACGCGGTCTGCGTTTTATCTCCATTCTACGTGACATTGGTGAAGTAATCTGTGCTCAACTGGCACGCTTTGAAGCCATTAACAAGAGAATTGAATTGAATAACTTAAGCATAGAATTTTTTACCCCTTTTCTGATTTCAGTACTGATTAATTGTTACCTACAATGGGTTTTATGAACGTAAAAGTTTTATTACAATTTTCATTGAAAATTGTGTGACTCATAAAACTTTATGTTTTCAGAGACGATATGCTCCCACTGCCGAGATCAGAGACAGTACTGCACAGTATGGTTGAGATTGCTGACCAAAATTATCATTCGCAATACCAGCAAATGGATGTCGATAAGTGGATCCTGAGGGGCACTAGACATATGGCTAGCTATAGGTAAAGTATAAATATTGTATAAATATTGGTATAAGGTATAGGGAAACGACAATGGTAGCTCAGTGGTAGCTCAGTGGCATGCTCGCTTGGAATCCAAGTGAAGCGGTGCAAAACCCGGGCCTCGCACTAAGATGTTTTGATGTATGAATTATTACATGATTCTTCCTGAAACCTGCATATATGAGAGAATATACATAGTTTTCTAAAGGCAAATCAACTAACTCGCACTTTGCCAGCGTGGTGGATTATGTGGTATTGAAGGGAGGCCCGCGCCCTGCAACTGGGACGCTAAAAGGGATAAGATCGTCTTTCATCCATTTGCTAATAGAGTTTGTGAAATGTACTTTTAAATTAAATATTGTAAAGAAAATATATATAATTGGTTTGTTGCTATACGAAATATGGTTAAAACTCCTTTGACCATATTTCATATTGCAAACACATCAATGTTTAAAAATAGTAATAAAGCAATCATTTTTTATTGTAATATTCGTTTTCTGAATGACAGTAGGTTAAAAAGAGATCTAATTTGGTAGCTTTTGGTGTCTACATTAATTTCTTTATGTACCATAAAAATATACATACACAAATAGAAATCCGATATATTGTGTTCAAAGGATGACTTCCCTTAAAGAGATCTCTTCCAGTAGCTCTCGAGAAAAAATATAATTATTAAAGTGTAGGTACAAATTGCAAACATCAATATAAACACACATACATAAATAATATATACATACATATGTATATGCAAAAATATATTACATAATAAAGAAATTATGTCACCTTCAGACAAAGTTGCACTCAAGCTAGGTTTAAACAGTTTTGTTTCATTATGGCGACCACATGATTTAAAAATGGTACCAATAACTCAGTATCTTCTTTACCACCTCGGATCCAATATTTTTTATTTATTGGACTATACATTCTAAATATATTTCTCATATACGAGTATCTACCAGATATCAGACGTTTAAAACGTTCACTGGTGTGACGTGTTGCGTCGCCGCGCTGGCGATGTTGTTGAGACTCAGGGCCAGAGCGTGGAATGAGGACGTCATAGATGAGACACTGGATTTGGGATATAATTTGTATAGAGTTAGTTGTGTTATAATATTTAAGTTATAATTCTTATTATATTTTGCAATATTATGAAATAAATATAGATTAAATATAGTCTGTGTGGTACTCCATGATATAGACTATCGCCAGTCCAGGGTTTTATTTAAATTCGTTGAGTAGTTATTGCGTTAATAAGTTACAAACACACTCATAAATTGTTGAATTCATGATATTATAATAATAATGTAATTGGCGATGACGACCCGACCTTCGTTTATATTTTGCACATATTTTTTTTACAGGAGTCTTTAGTAGACCGAGGCGGACCGATAAGGAGATTAGTTTTGGGAGAAATAAAAGATACGTTCAGGATAAGAGATAAAGAATATATTCACAAGGTAATTAAATATATGTATATTTATCGTGTTATCCATATTTTACGAGCATCATCTTTAGTGGTTATTAATCTTGTGGGCGATGTCAGGCCTCAATAAAGAATTCTCAATGCTTCATACAATTTAATGAATGAAATCACAATGTTATAAACTTGATAATTCTAATAATGTAATTGAGCAGCGGGTTCTCGACACCGATCTGACTTCCACATTCAATATTGAAACACAACTCTCTATAATCCACCATGATCAAACAACATACCTCCAATGAATGTCATGGTGGCGTCTCGACCCCGCTCGAGACGTTTATAGAAGTACTAGCATTGCCCGCGGCTCCGCCCGCGTTCTGATGAGCAAAAACCAAGTTCTTAGGTTTTACATATTAGTATACTCTTACATTGCAGATTTTGCATTTTTTTTCTCAGAAATGAGGTATTTTCCAGCGGTAAAAAGTATCCTATATGTTGACCCGGATAACCAGCTATCACCATACCAAGTTTCATCAAAATCCCTTCAGTGGTTTTCCCTGATGATGATGATGCGGTAACAGACAAACAGACAGACAAAAATCCTAAAAACTATAGATTCGGCCTCTGTATCGATGATAAGGCCTAAGAATATTTCAATAAGGTTTTCTAAAAAATAGGTTTAATTTAGACCCAATAACGATTATAAAAAAAATATTTCACCTTTATTTAAATCACACGCATATTCCTTATTCGTTTTGAGGAGTCATACATTCGGCATAGTTTGTCGAAAATGTGTTATTTAGTTTCTTTTAAAACTATTATGATTTGCATAAAAATATTTTATGTAACTCGATAGTCTGTTTTGTATCTAGTTTTCTAAGCGAATCCAAGTGAATTACTTGTTTATATAAAATTACAGGATCGCTTAATAGCCGTTTGGGGTAAATTAATATCTTCAAACCCAAAAGTGTTCGATCTTTGTCGTGGGATTGAGACTTTCTTCAAGGAATCTGATGGTGGAATACTACAGGTACATTAAATTTTTGTATTTCAATAGTAATTGAAATGTAAGGTTTGGATGAAAGAGATGAACGTTAGAATTTGTAAGAGGAAAGAGAGAGAGAGAGAGAGAGAAAGTTTTTACAGTTTTTAGACTCGAATTTGTTATTAGCTGGATTACGGAAATGCAAAATTTTCACTCAAAGTGTGCATTTACGAAGGATAAAATATTAATCTAAATAAGTCAGTACGTCAGTCTGGCGATATATTATTCACCTTATAAGTTCTTGTATTACATAAAATACAAAAAAAAAGATTCCGACGAATTGAGAATCTCCTCCTTCTTGGAAGTCGGGTAAAAACATTTTTTTAATACGCAAAGCGACCATGAATAGCAGGTTTTTCAAAAGATGGGAATCGAATTAAAAATACCATTCGTTATTAGTAAGCACATTTTTAAGAAATAAAAAAAATATTTTTATTATTTTCTAATCTGTAAAAGTTTTCATTCCCGAAATCATTATTTAATGTTTTTTCTAATAATATCTATTTCTACTTTTATTATATTTTTCATAATTTTTAGATACCTGGTGTAATAGAAGTGGCTATATGGCAGGAAGGTGACAGATATTACGTGTACCATCCGTGGCCGGCGGACGGATATGGGTATAAAGTAAGTAATCTTCCTAGACGTTTGACATTCTACGGATGTATCATGTTTAATTCTGGATCGGCTGTTGGGCGCGGACCTTCCTTCAATATAAAGGGGATGAGACTATAGACCACCACGCCGGCCGAGTGCAGGCGGACTGAACATGTCTGCAGACAACTTGCTAGGTTCTCTCAGACACGCAGATTTTGGCACGATGGGTTGCCTTATAATATAAGGTCAATGTAACCATTTACGATCAATATTATTAATTTTATCTAAATAGGCTAATCTTTTGGCCAGGTCGGTCTCCAAGAAGGAGGTAAAGCCTGCCTTCTGTACTTTAGACGAGTTTCACGACTTTGCGAGCATTTCTTGGACAGTGTGTCGGATTTAAAAAGAAAACCCTTCAGCATATCAGACGTGTATGTGAAGGAGATTGGCAATATGCCTGAGCCTGTGAATAACTTAAAACGTAAGTATGGAAATTGTATGGGTTTTGTAGTGGGTTTTGGTGATACAAAAATTGTTGTATGGATCATGATGCAAATGATTGTTTTTATATCTGCTTTTAAAGGTCTCTGGTATTGCTAAAACTATTGTTTTACCTTAAATTAGTTTATTTTTGTGGTATCCAGTGGAAATGTACTTTAAGTAATAATATTCAGCATAGTTTTAGCAACTTTAATATTTATAAAATAGTATATATAAAAAAATTAGTTACTTTTGAGTTTTGGCCAACTTCAAAACTGAGATGGTACTTCAATCGGGTTTTGTGTTTCTGTTCGTTACACGATATTCGCTAACAGCTGTAAACTGAACTTAATGAGTTTTATTAATTGGGTTATATCTCAAAAAATACTTCATCCTTAAAAGTATATTAAAATATATTTTTTAAGTAAATGTAACATTTTAGTAAGTTTAGGAATGTATAAAAGTCAAACGTTCGAAAAAAATATTTTTTCACGCCAAAGGCCTTTGCAGGCGTGTACAGAATAACCCACAAAACTTTCATCATGATCAGATGAATGAATTAGGAACGCATGGAGGACAAACATACGAATGTTAATTTTTATTTATGTATATAAAATATAATTTAATATATATATTAAATTATATATTTTTTATATATATAATTATATTATGCTATAGCATAATAAATCTTTTTTACCGATCAATTTCTCTCGTCTTTTCTTTTCTACGTGACATTAGCGAAGTAATCTGTGCTCAACTCTCACGTTCTGAAACCATATACAAGAGAATTGAATTGAAGTGTTTATATTATTACACCTTCCCTTTACATCTAGCGGTAGCTCCCAACCGTTGGATAGTCCGCGGCAGGTTCCACGAAGCCGACGCGCGCTTCCCCGCGGAGCACCGCGGCAAGCAAGCGACGCCCGCCTCCATAGCGGCCATAGCCATGGCCCACGTGGTGGAGCCCTCCACCTGGACACCTGATGATATAGATGAAGTTAGTGTCTTTTACAGGAAAGCATATGTTTTAAAGAAAGATTTTTATGGTTTAGGTGGTCATCACGGGCATGTTTTTCCGACTTCAATTACAGTTTTGATGATTTCTGACAGTGAGCACATTTTTATCGGTATAAAAATGTCTCTGCCGTCTCAGTGCTTATTTGTCCAAACGACCAATTTATCAAAAGAGTTTTTAATACAGAATTATTGACTATTAAATGTCAATTTTATTAGTATTAAATACTCATTTTACATTAATGCCGAAAAAACGTATTATACCTATATACGAGTATGTACATTAATCTTAGAAATAAAGCTTTGTTTTTAAAATAGAGGAAAAAACTCTCTACTGTAAACTTGTAAAGTTCAACAAGTATTGGTCGTTTGAACATAAAAGCACTCGGCGATAATGCAGCTTTAATGAATTTTGAGAATCCGATTAATTATAGTTTCAGAAATTACCCCCTACATGCAAACATACAAATCTACATACAATCTTTATCTCTTTATAATGTTAGTGTGGGTTCATATATTGGTCTTACATAAATAATTATACATTTATATAGACTCTTGTTCGAGGCGACATTCTGTATCAAAACACAATGGAACACCTCGAACGACTGGGCATATCCCTGGAGACACCCATGGGTGTTGAAGAAGGTGAGGAAGAAGAGAAGAGCGCGTCTGGTACCCTGGCTGCAGCAGACGTGCTGAACAGGTTCAGGGTCTCGGAGTATGACTGTATCGAAACTGATGTTATGGATAGCGCGTATAGTGGTTAGTTTTAGGTTTTCAATATTATTTTGGATTCCTAATTTTTATATTACTTTCTTAGATTGACGCGAATTGCTGTAAAGCATTCGAAACGCCGGGAAACAAAAATCAAACTAAATCCACGAAAAAATCCGAAAAAATAGTTTTATTTAAAATCAGATTATTCAATTGAATATTAAGAATGCATAGAATGGCTTAAAATTTACACTACAGTTTTTGTAGGACAACTCAATCCAGAACATGGTAGTGGGGTTCTATCCCTGAAGGATTCTTTGAGGTGTTTGTTCAAAGAACACTCGCACGCGGTGGTGACCGCTCGAGGAGGATCTATGGCAATATGGCGACACGATAACAACTTTTATTTCTTCGACCCCCATGGATGTGATGAATATGGTAAGGTTTTCTATTAATAGTTTTTCTATATTATTATTATAAACGCGACGCTCAACGCTGGAGAGATTTAGATGTAATTTAGTACTAAGATAGGCTATTATAACCTGGAGTGATATATTTCCTACTGTTGGTAATAAAAATTGCTCAAACTACACGCTTAATGTAAATAAAGGAAAATCTATGATTTTGTATAAAAATGGCAGTGTGATAAAAAATACTAACTTTCTTCTTCCCTTTAACGTCTTTAGGATATGGTTTCTTATCCTTTCTTACTGCATACACAATTGATGTGCAAAATTTAATTCTCATCAAATGTTCATTACATATATAGTATCAGAAACTATTCTAGGAAATTAGATTTTGACAATTTTTTCCCATAAATTGTAACTTTGTCCATACATTGTTCCATCACCAGGTCATCCATCGGACGAGCCCCAAGCGGCGGCCTGCCTCGTCAGGATCGAGGGGAGCGTGAAGGACCTCGCTGATGTCATCCTCGGGAACCTCTCCCCCGGTGCAGACGACAGCTTCAACATATCGCCAGTCCTGGTGTACGCCAGCAAACTGAACTCCGCGGTGGGAGCTCCTGAGACCAAATTGGAGGTGAGTATGTGGAAAAGGAGAGGAAAGCATGGCTCGTACGCAATGATGACAGGCAATATCGTGAAACGTTAAATGATTGTTTTATTTAAAACTAGCGACTTACCCTCGCTTCGCTCGGTTGTGTCCGTCCGTTGCGGATTTTGTTCACAATTTCATTGGTGTTAATTTTTTTACGCGGAACTTTTAATTGAATTTTCTAAAATAAAGTGACCTAAGTTACTCCTTATAACACCAGCTATCTGTCAGTGAAAGACACGTCCAAAGTCGGCCCAGCCGTTTTTGAAATTAGCCGAAAGAAACAACAAAAAAATTTAAAAAATATTTTTTCTTACAAGGTACCGACTACCGTATAATATATACCGTATTCATAATTATTTAGTATATAGCTATTATTTTGACATTACAAAAAGACACTTCAATTTTATTTATTTATATAGATAGATCTCTTGTATTTTCTCATTTCTCTACTAATTTACTGGAAGTTCACTCTATTATATGTTTTCATAGAGTAAAGCATTCGAGTGGATATCCAAAGGCACGGCGGCCGTGATGCCGGGGCCGCGGGGGGAGAACACGGCCATCGGTAAAGCTGCTCGAAAAGCTGGGATTGGTGTTAGTATTTCCGATAAGAACTCTGATTTTACTTAATTTTTTGGTTAAGTTTTAGTTTTGTTATAATAAAGTGATTTCGATCATAAATATATTAAAGATATAGTCAAGTTATTGAAGATTTAGTTAGTTGAAGACATAAAAGGGGTGTTTTGCCAGAAAAGGTCAAAGAGAGTTCTAATTTGGCAGTGTGTTAGTTTAGTGTCCTTATTAATTATATTCTGAATTTGTAACCTTAGCGACGGCCTTATGCGCCGCCATATTTGAAAATGGCACCAAAAACCGGTTTTTAATAAGAATATCTTCTCTTCAGTATTATCTAGGTTATAAATAGTTATTACGAAAAGTATAGAGCATGAAATTTCCTAAAACTTACAATAATGTATTTACGGAATTAAGGCAAGACAATATTTCTAATTAAAAACAATTGCAATTTTTATAATATATATAATTTTCATTTTTTATTACATTACTTTTATCTCACTAAGACTTAAACCGATATTTTTTTATTAAATCTCGGAATGAAAATGAATATCCAAATATCGTCTCAGCCGAAACACCTCCACTGGCACAAAAATGCCAAATTTTAAATATAAAATATAATAATGTACAATCAGAATTCTTTTTCTTTTTAGTCAGAAGTACTTGTTAATTCAGGTTTAGATTTTTGTAGCAGTTATGTCTGAGATTTCTGACGTTATTAGGAAGAAGATATGGCAGGTCGAACTCTAGCCCTGCCGGCCGCCGCAGCCTTCGCCGCGGCCACTGAGTCAGTGCCACCTCCTCATATGCATCAAGACCACATGTATAACTTCCTAGGTCAGCCTGGCTTTTGTTACTAATGTGAATATGAAAGTTTTTCTATTTAATGGACAAAAAGTATAGTTAACATTTTAAGGGTAATTAATTGAATAAAATTTGAATGCTTATAGCCTCAATTTACAGAGTACCTTGATTTTTTTTAATTTTCTCGTATTTAATGTTAATTTTTTTGTATTCAATTTTATTTAATTTCAATTTTAATCACGCTAGAATGTAAAAAAACTCTTTAGCTTTATATAATTTAAAAAATATAATACTCGTATAATAACGTAATGTAATGAAATATCTTAAAAAGATATACATATTAGATATAATTCTTCTCTCTCAATCAGACGCTGGAGCGGATTATTATTTGAATCACGTAAAGAAGACTGGGCGTAAAGAAATACAGCCAGAAGATTTAACGGAGAAGTTTGAAATGGGCGCCAACACGTTCTCCATAGAACTTGGTGATCCCATAAGATTGCCGTTGAGACTGCCAGATGAACCTGCGGGGGTGAGGGTTTGCTTGTTACTAGTCTATGGGTAATATGATGAATGTTTTACTGCCACGGTGGTGTAGTGGCGAGTATGAACGGCTACACATTTGGTGGTCCTGAGTTCGAGTTCCGGAACGGGCTTACTTAGTTATTGTGTTTTTCTCTTAAGAAAGGAGAGAAATTGGGAAGTTGTATATGTCTCACTTTTGTGCTTCGTGCAACAGTCGAAAGTTTTAGCTAATAGAATCTATAGTTGATAGACCAAATTAAGCGTTGTAATAATGAAATTCAATCATGTTTATAAAACAGTCTTGGAAAATTTCAACATATATGTCCATTTCCGGTATGCCTAAAATATACCATAGGTATTATTCACTTCATAAGCAATTCTATAATTAAGCCAGTATAGTCTATGAATCAATAAAAAGTTACAATTTTTAACTATAAACCTGTGTTTTCTATCAAAATTACTTTCGATTTTGATTAATTTTACTGCGTTTTTGATCGACATGGTGGTTGGCCGTAGGTATTATGACATAAATTGAGCGTGTAATAATTAATGTATTCAACTCTTTATGACATCCCACTGCTCGGAGTGGGCCTCCCTACAATATGTGGGAGATCAGGCCATAGTCCACCACGCTAGACAAGAGCGGGTTGGCGGACTACACATGTCTTTAGAAAGCTTATCTCGAATTTCTTCTCAGTTCACCGTGTAACCAATAATAGATTAAATTTTTATGCAGGAGGGTGGAGAAGAAGAAACTGCTGAAAAAGAAGAACTCGGTGAAGAAGAAGAGGAAGAGAAGGAACTGCCAATGAAACGTAAAGTCTATATTTAATTTAGTTTGTTAAGTCCAGGTAAATGGTTGAAAGATTTTGATGGGAAATTTTCTAGTTTGTTATTGTTATTCCATAATTTGTTCTACCCTCTAAAGTACAGTTTTTTTTTAATATTTATATTAGAGTGATTGAGATACGAAAAAAAAACTATGTTAAACGATAGGGAACTCTTTTTTAGAAGTAGGTTAAATATATTAATTACAGAAATCAAAGACGCTCTATACAAGCAATGGCACGATCAAATAAAGCCGACATCAGTATGGCTGCTGGTGGGGGACTACCACCGGCTGGGGCTGTGGGTGAGTGCAGGGGGGGCGCTGGTGGCCTTCGACCCCGCGCCCGCGCTGCGGCGGGGGACGCTGACCGCTCAGAGGATAAAGAAGGGTTAGTTGGCATAGCGACATGGCGTTGCCTTCAAACTTACCAATACTTTTTAAATAAAACTATCTTTTCGATAAGGTAGTTTTTTATTCAATTATTACATAAGAGACAGATATACAGAGCATACATTCTTACAATTGTACATGTTAATAAACCAAAGAAGATCTAAATGAAGCCCTAATTACTAAGCAACACTGCACTGCATATGACAACAGTAGTTTTTATTTAAAATGTCAAATATTCGCGTAAATCTAAGAAAGTATTACTAATACCTGTTGTACTTTCCCTCTATTTTAAAAACAAAGCAAGTCAAAGTCTGTTGTATTAGTTTATTTTATATTTTTATAAGACATATACAAACTTTGTTGTTACTATAAACTAGAGGTAACATAACACAATGACATTACAAGATGAATTCTCAAGCTATCATGTAATTTTATTTTAATTAATATAATATTAATTTAATATAACAAAGTCTATTAATTAATTAAATAATTCTGTATTTAAAAAAAACTCTTTTGGTAAATTGGTCGTTTGGACAAATAAGCAATGACGTAATATCCGTAATGACATTGTATAAGTGAAAAGAAGTTAGTCTGTATGTTCATCACGTTTTCACATTTAAATAGCTAAAGCATTTCTCATAAATACGTATGTGTATACTCGTAGATAGATTTACTTTAGAGAAGGAAATACTTTTATTGCAGAAATAGAACTTGTACGAATAGAGGCTGAATGTTTGTTGGGAACCCAACATTTCTCATGTTAAGAGTAGTTGTCTAGATAAAGATATAGGATAAGGCAGAATAATTTTCATAATATTAATACATATTCATTTTTCGCAAATATGATTTTAAGTAAATTTGGGTATTCTTCTTGTTTTTGTTCTTTTCCCACTCTACATGAGGTCAGCACAATACTTCCCTCTCGTCTCTTCACAATACTTCTCTTTGACTGCCTCGGTGGTGTAATGGCCAGCATGTACGGCTGCACACTCGGAGGTCCTGGGTTCGAGTCCCGGGTCGGGCCAAGTTTAGTTATTGAGTCTTTCCGTATAGTAAGTCTCAGTAACAGCCCGGAGTTGGGAAGTTGGCGGTGTTTCACCCCCGTGCCTCGGAGAGCACGTAAAGCCGTCGGTCCTGCGCCTTAACTCTCACTGGTCGTGTTGAGCAGTCGTCCCACCGGAGTATGAGAGTGACAGGAATAGAGAGTGCACTTGTGTCTGCGCGTACACTTGTGCACTATAATATCTCCTGCGCAGTTGGCTAGTCTCAATGACATTGGCCGCCGTGGCCGGAATCGGCTAGGAGAGAACATCACTTCCCTCTATCAGCTATTCCTCAGCATAAAACACACACACACGTGCACATACAGATATACATACAAACTTTCGCATTTATAATAGTAGGTAGTGTGATTATATATTATTTTCTTTTCCTATCAGGTGATGAACTTCGCATCCAACGTATGAAAGATGAGATGGCCGGTGAGGGCGGTGGTGGTGATGAGGAAGAAGAGGAAGAGGAGGCTGGTGCTGGTAAGATGAAGATTTATAACTAGCACACGTTTACTATATTATTTTACTTTCCGACCTACATAGACACTTAGAACATCCTGTGTCATAATCATACCGGCTGTTTTTAGTTTTATGTAATGTATTAACATGTAATAAATAACAAGTCTTTATTTATAATAATCGAAGTGACAAAATGAACGCCGCAAAATTTCCAGGGATAGTTACAAGTTAAACAAAATGGTGGACGTAGCGGATTGTGATTGGTTGTCCGAGTGGAAATTCAACACATTTTGCACTCAAAAAGTCAAAAGTCCTTACAATTTAGAACATATACCTATCCAAACTATGAATGTTAAACAAATAAGCATTAAATTTATATTACAGAGACAGATGAAATAAAATTCATGTTTTTTTGGCTTTCTAAAAGAAAATGGCCTTATATTTTAGGCTAAATACTGTTGACATTTAAGTATTTTAAATCAAACTATAATTTCAGATTATTTCGAGGATATTTTGATTTTTTAGTTCCCGATGTTTAGAATGTTTTACAGCAATCACGGTCACGAGAAAGACAAAAATCAAAATAAATCTGCGAAAAATCCGAAATAGGATAGTTTTATTTTAATTTTTTTCAAAATATGCCACTTTTGCTAGAAAAATATTATGTTCAACATAAAAGAGGTCCAAAAGTCTTAATTTTACCGTTAAATATTTTAACATATACAAACATACACGTACGAGTATATGAATGGTAATTCCAGATTACAGGTTTGATAATTATTGCCCTACAAATTTTGTATGAGGAAAAGCAATCGGTCTTCCTAATCTATATAATAATTATTATATATTATTTTATATTAACTTCAGAGGGTGAAGAGAAGCCGGAACCGGAACCGGACTTTGTGCCGCCGGAGTCTACGCCCACTTTGATGGTGTTTGCGAGCCCTGGAGAGTTTATAGATAAGCTCAGTAAGTAATTATTTGGTCAATTCAAAGTCAACAAACTACCTATCCGTGATTTTTCTTACTAGAAATGAAATGGACTCTATTATATGTATTGTAATCTATATATATAAAAGAAAGTCGTGTTAGTTACTTCGCTTATAACTCAAGAACGGCTGAACCGATTTAGCTGAAAATTGGCAGGGAGGTAGTTTAGAGCCAGGAGAAGGACATAGGATACTTTTTATCCCGTTCGACCGCGTTCCAATTTTTATGATATTTTAATTTTTGGATTTCTCTTAGTCCGGAATAGGTAAGTATTAAAACATATAATTAAAATGTGAGAAAGAAAGATTTTTTCTTTTTATATCTATTTAAAACGTACCTAGCGACGAACCCGAGCGAAGCGAGGGTGAGCCGCTAGTTTGTATTATATGAACTTACAATCTTCATTACATTTTTTTATATTAAACGTGCTCGTTTGGGAAACCGAATGAAGTGAGTTCAAATCCCGGTTCTCGCACATCTGATATTTTCATGTGCGAATCATTTTCTAATATGATTACCACTTGTCTTATTGGTGAAGGAAAAAATCTTAAGGAAACCTGCATGTCTGAGGGAACCTAACAAGTTGTCTACAGACACCCTCAGTCCGCCCGCACTTGGCCGGCATGGTGGTCTATGGCTTGATCCCCTCCTATTGAAGGGAGGCCCATCCCCAGATATGGTGATATACTAATTTTTGCCCATGATCCTACTTGTGATCTTAAATCCATATCACGTGTTATCAGATAGTCCTTCCTCAAATAAACTTTAAACAAAAAGAATTTCCCAAATCTATTCGAAAGCTCTTCTTTATAAAAATAGAATAAATATACCTATATTGAAATGTGATTTATTTTAAACCTATCAATATCTCTAAATAGCCCTTCAAGGCGGTCTCGATAGAAAGCAGTGTCTCGCGCCATACACACTGTACCCGGTGAAAGTGACGAATGAATTGACGTCAGTATTGAAGGAGAGGAGAGGAGCAGCTACCAAAAGTGGTGTAGATGAAGCTGCCGATGAAGAAGGTGATGGTTATTTATTATTTTAACTAGTAAATATTGTTTTAAGTAGTAAAAAATTATTACAAAAATAACAAAAAAGACCGACTGTTTAAAAATCGAACTAAAAAGATGGGAACAAGTTTATGATGGGACATAGCATTATGCAGTCCGAGACATAGGTATATAAACAAACATACATATAGCTAAGCTCGCAGCAAATATAAAACATACATGAAATTATGTTTCTCTATAACCTATGATACTCGCGCTATCAAGACAAGTCTAGCGACGAATGAATCATCAAAATCGGTTAAGCCGTTTAGTAATTACGAGGGAACATAGAATCGGACATACATAATAATAATAATATTCTTTATTGTACACCAAAATAAACATAAAATAAAAAAACAACACAAAGAAAAGATGCACAGCAGGCGGCCTTATCGCTGGAAGCGATCTCTTTCAGGCAACCTTGAGGTGGAGGAGTAAGTGTTCATAAAAACATACATACATACATGCAAGTTAAAAACATAATCCATCCTCTTTATTATAAATGTGAAAATTTAGAAGGATGTTTGGACAAAAAGGCATCTTGTTACATAAACATTTTTTGGATCAGAGGGTGACACTCTGATAGAGGCGTTGGACGAGGCGGCCGTCGGGCGGCACTTCACGCGCGTGTCGCGCGCGGTGGCGGCGCTGCGCGGGAGGCTCGCGCAGAACGAGAGCTATTTCTTGGACCGACCTAACAGAGATCATCAGGTTTGTGTCATATTTTGTTTTGTAATTCTTAACACGGTTTTAGCGTTAGTTTCATCTTATTAATATTATAAAGGCGAAAGTTTGTAAGGATGTATGGATGTTTTTTACTCTTTCACGCCAAAACTACTGAATGGATTTTAATGAAATTTTACAATAATACTAGCGACTCACCCTCGCTCCGCTCGGGTTCGTCCCTGGGGTGGGGTCTGGGAGGACCACCCTTATCCTTATCACTTAGGGGTATGGAAAATAGATAGTAGCCGATTCTCAGACCTACTGAATACGCATATAAAATTTGGTAAAAATCGGTAAAGCCGCTTCGGAGGAGTACGGTAACTAATATTGTGACATGGAAATTTTATATATTAGATAGCTCATACATCAGAATGACTCGTATACATAGGCTATTCTTTATCCCGAAAAAAATTACGATTACCGTGGTGTAGATCTTTTTTTGTTTATCTATTTTATTATTTATTATTTTGTTTTTAATATATAATAGATACCTATATAATAGATAACCTCAAAAAGCAAAACTTTACCTAAATACAAAATTTGATCGAAATCGTTAGGGCCGAGATATACGAAATAGATGTACATGTATGTGTATAATAAATAATCATTTAATCAATTTGTTTAATATTAATTTAGGACGCAGCAAACGCAATAATGGGTATAGTCGTAGAACACATAGAGCCTTATACGTTTTGGAAACCGCAACTTTTGGACGCCATACTGAAGTATGGGGACAGACTGTACACTCTGTCGCTGCCGAGGGCGGAGGCGCCGCCCAGATTGTGTCCTTCGGAAATACAAAGAGAGTTTCATGTTACCAGTTTTAATGTTAGTACTGGTTCTAGAATATTTTTTTTAAGTTATACTTCTTTTGCCACGTTTGAAATAAAATTACAAGAGTAAAATTTTTACAACGACAGCCAAAAAGCGACATGATGAAGTTAGCTGTATTCCTTTTACAAACAGATAGTTCTGAATTACGGGATGAAATCGTAATTAATGAAATCTTTGTATACAAAATACACTATATTATACACTAACGACTTTTATCTCGCTTCGCTTGGGTGCTTCCCTAAGCTTGAATGGTTTAGGAACACATAAAATACAAATATCCAAAGAAAAAATCTTTTTTCTGCATCAGAAATCTTTAAGGCGTATGCCGAATACCTTGCCAGAGTTTCATCACAATCAGATAAATACTTTAGGAACGCATAGAGGACAAACATACGAATATGCATTTTTATTTATATAGAAGATAAACGTGCATTTCAATGCAACATAACTTGTATCGACATGCTCCATAGATGTATGAGGCTAGTTTATTATGAGACCTTAGCTGATATGCACATTACAATTTGTCATAATTTTCATCACTCTTGGCTCTAACAATGCATAGGTTACAAACAGACACACAAAATATATTTTAATATATTTTCTCATTTATATTTCAGGTGAAATTGGAAATAGAAAGCAACGTAGTGACAGGTGACATAAAGGCCGGTGAAACTGGTTCGGTGCTCAGTCTGAGGAGAGGAATTTTGAAGTTCTTTGAATCGGTATGTATTTGGAGATTAATTAATTGTTCTATATTCTATGTGACATTGATCAAAGAAAATTCATCAAAGAAAATGTGTTCAAGTGATAATGCTTCAAAAGTTTGCAAGAGTAGTGATATGATGGTATTTAATTACTTGATTTTTAATGTTTTTCATTTTTTTTTATATTTTCTCCTAAAACACTTATTCAGACTATTAAATTTAAATGAGAAAAAAAGCCAAATCGGTCCAGCCGTTTTTAAGTGTTACTCCTACAAACGTATAAAGATCACTGATTGATATAAATATACAAGAATTGCTCGTTTAAATATATTAGACTAGCGTTTTCCCGCAGCGCCGCCCGCATATATCATAAACTAAAACCTTCTCCGAAACACGCTGCATCTTATGGTATGAGTATTATTCCGATCGGTTCAGTAGTTATCGCAGTATAACCGAACAAAAAAATCGGCTCTCCATTTATTAGTATAGATTTATATACATTTGTGGGATGAAGGATACCAGCAATGAAACTATGTATCATTTTAATACGTTTATTATTTTTATATAACGTCTTCTCACAATGCACGTGCTCGCTTCCTTCTTTCAAACTCAACGTCTGTCATATTAAAACAAACAGTCGAACGCACTATCCCTTTCACTCGTTCTTTCTTTCATTCACACTTCACTGATAAGATTTAGTTCCTTTTTATTTTTGTTTATTTAAGGGAAACAAACAGTATTACAGAACATACAACTTAGACTAAAAATTGGAAATCTTAAATTTTCGGGATAAAAGACCCGTTGCGTCTTCCGCCATCTTGAATTAAGGGTTGATTTTTGTTTAATTTTCAATTTTGTTGTTTGAATTAAATTTCCTGCAATTTTGATTCTTATTATTTTTTTCCTAAAATTACCCCCAAAAAATTCCGAAGGAATTGCTGTTGAAATTTTTTGCAATGTTTGCCCCTTTTTTGAGCTAATTCGACTGGGCTAATTGTACCGGCAGTACAAGTACGGCGTGCTGTGCGCGAAGGACTACTGCGTGGGCGTGTGGCGCGCGGCGGACGCGCGCGCGCTGTGCGCGTGGGAGCCGCACGCGGCGGGGCCGGCGGGCGCCGCGGCCGGCGCCGGCGCCGCCGTGCTCGTCGTCGTCACCACCGCCGACATACTGGCTGATACCTTCAGGAGTAGCTTGGACAAGTTGGGAAGACTTGGGTCTAACAAGTTAGTGGTGTGAATTGTATACTTACGGAGTTATTGTCATACATACATACATATTATTATGCCCGCGGCTCCGCCCGCGTTTAAAAACTAAAAACCAAATTCTTAGGTTTTACATATTAGTATAGTACTCGTACATTGCAATTTTTGTATTTTTTCTCAGAAATGAGATGTTTTCCCGTGGTAAAAAGTATCCTATATGTTGACCCGGAAAACCAGCTATCACCATACCAAATTTCATCAAAATCCCTCCAGTAGTTTTTCTGTGATGCGGTAACAGACAGACAGATAGACAAAAATTCTAAAAACTAATCTAAAAATATTTAATGTACAGATTCAGCTTAGTTACAATTTTATTATATGTATAGATGTAAAATATTCGCGTAAATCTAAGAAAGTATTACGCCTAACAGTAGCCTGTGCTACAACAAATTATAGTCCATTATATCCGTGTATTAAGTTTGAAGTTTTAACCTATGACATTATTGATTCGATTCAACAAATAATTTCACTAACACTAAATATTATGTAAACACTAGATTCTGCATATCAGCCGTGAAGGTGGTTTGGGAACTGTCCAAGCCTCCAGCAGCCGTCGCTCCCAAGGCGGCCGTCCCCGACGACGGGTACGAGTGCAAGGTTTGTATTTAAATGGATATATCACAACAAATATGCACCCCCTTAAGGAACGATTTCCAGTATAAAAAGTATCCTATGTCCTTCCCAAGGTCTCAAACTATCTTCTTACCAAATTTTATCTAAATCGGTTCAGTAGATCCAGAGATTATCTCATACAACGTCACAAACTCACAAACTTTACCTCTTTATAATATTAGTATAGTATAGTCTAGCGACTTGATCTCGCTTCGCTTTGTCTAACAGTACCCTATGTATTACACCATATAATGGTCTATCTGTGTTTCAAATTTTTCCAAATTTCAAATTTCATCCAAATCTATCCAGCCGTTTTTTTTGTTCTTTATACAATAGCTAACATTGTGTAATTCCATCATATAATTGTAAAAAAGTAACATTATATGTATAATAAAAAAAAGTCTAGCTCCAAATTTAGGAGATTTTTTTACGCGCGCTTGGCGTGACGTCACAGTATGATATACACAGAAAAATGACGACTTTAGTTTGTAGCGACAAAATCGCTAATCGCTATTTTATGATAATACTTTGAATTCGGTCTTACCAATGGCGTGCGCTTCAACTACTTTTTAATAACTATTTTTGTAATCAAAAAGAAATTACAATCAAAAATATTGTTATAGGCTTAATTTAAAAGCAGTAAAGATTATAAAAACAAAATTTCACCTTTTTTTTAAATCACACGAATATACCCTATTTAAAAGGCAAATTTGAAAATATAAACAAAGTTTTGATCAAGCGTGTCACGTGACACGCCCCAAATGAAATAAAAGGGCTCGCCGTGATAATTTACGAGTACTTTTCCAGGTGCTAACAGCGTACGTTGAGATGGCACGAGGAAGGACTATACTCAGAGGTTCGAGACCACCGGATTTGGTCAAGTAAGATCATTGCTATTCTACATATATAATGACATTTAAAAACTAGGTTTAAGTAGCGAGCTTTATACATTAAACAGCGGCAGTCTTGTTAAAATCAGCTATTCCTTTGTCCCGAGGAACCCATTTTTTCATTTTCCATAAAAATAGTCTATTTTAATCATTCTCACCCATATTCTCTAGTAAAACCCTGTAGAAATTGTTTTATTGTTGACCTTCGGTATCGCTCAAAGAAAGTATTATTGAGATGCAAAGAACAAAATTGTAAATGAGTATTAACTAATGTGTAATTTGGCTTAGTTACAATTTTATTATTATTATGTATAGATTTGCCAAGTATTTACAAAAAAGAAAATTACAAATATACTTAATTATATATACAAAACATATGTACACTTAGTTATGACTGTACAAGTCATGTCCGCGTGGAATAGTGGCAAGAATGCTAGCCGCATTCCCCCGTTGTAGTATTAACTTAATTTAAAAATATTAATTAATTTCCTCATCTATACATTCTGAGTCGAATCTGCACATAAAATATTTTTTGGAAAATCTTATTGAAGTAGTTATTATTATCGATACAGAAGTCGAATATATAGTTTTTAGAATTTTTGTCTGTCTGTCTGTCTGTGTTTGTATGTAACATTTCTAATAATAAACTTGGGATGGTTAAAACTAAAGGTGTTTTTCTTCTAGCTAACTCACTTCGTGTAACAATACTTAATAAGATTATATAAATATACTTGTTCAGATTTACCCGCGATGCTCTTCTCCAATCGTCCTGCGGCGCCATAGTGGGTCTCTGCATGTCTCACATAAGAAAGCCACATTTATGGACAAGGAACACCGTAGATGAGATCATGGCGATTGCTTCCCAACTCTTCTCAGCTTCTCTCGGCTCTTTGGGGTACGAGTTCAGACCTGGTGAAGATGAACTATTGCCTCTACAGGTGAGAAAAAACAAAGTGCAACTGTTGGGTTTCTCTACGGCCATTTTCAGCAGGCAGCTATAGGCAGTGGTAGCCTAATGGTAACGCGCTCACTTGGGAAACTGAATGAAGTGGGTTCAAATTCCGTGTCTCGCATCTCGAATCTTTAATTAAATTGACTATTCAAAAGTGCTTACGATTCAAAGTCAACAGTCTTATTGTATAATTTTTTACTTTATTTCATTTCAATGAGAGTGACAGTGGATATTATTTGCTAATTTTAAGTGTATTGGTTGTATGTAACGCTAGAAGGTCCTAGGATCAACTTCCGGGTAGGATCAAGTATAGTTATTAGTTTCTGCCAAAGAAATTCTCAGTAGCCATATCAGTCTTAGTTCTTTAATTACGAGTACTTCGGTAACGCTTTGAAAATCAACCTTTATAAAAATGTTTTTCCCATCTCATTTAAAAGCAAGCAATAATATATTATAGCTGCTAATTTTTTAATTAAATAATTTTTGATGATCAGGTTTTGAAGAGGTTCGTGTTGGGCGTGAACTACGTACGATACGACTTGCAGCAAGTGTACTCCGGCAAGCTCGAGCAAAAGGAGCCCACTGAGATGACCGTCAGGTTGTTTACACAAATTATTTCTCTTTAACCTGGATTTGCTTGGGTCAGAGAAGAGAATTATACAATGTAAACATATCTGATTATTTGATTTAAAATATTTTTATTTAAATTAAATTACTTAGATATGAAAAAAATTCCGAAGATACTTTTCGTCACTTCTTTAGGATTCCATAATTTGATAACTAAACCTAAAATAAACAAAATATTATGAGTACATGTTCAATCCCCTAGATCCCCTCGAAGTACGAATATTGCTAATTATTTTTGTACAATAAAGTATAATAAATAAATAATATAAACCATCAATCAACTGACAGATGTGCTCTAGAGCGTTTCTTCACCCACCATTCCCACGGGATCCTCTGGTCGGCGCCACACGCAGTGGCGGTGTGGCGGGTGGGATCCCCGCCCTTCTACATGCTGGAGCCTCACGCGTGTGGTCCCACGGGATTGAGGATCGATGCTCAGGTTGGTAGATTAGGGTGGTTGATGTTGGTATTGGTGATGTAAATGCTTAGAAGTTTACTACAAAGTTGTAGGTAGGATGTAAATTTTAGTGGATGTGATTGTTTTGTTACATCCTTTCAATATTTGTAATACTTATACACAAAAAATAAAAATATAAGCTACTTTGGTGCCATATTTGTATTTTTAGTCACTGTCTATAACAACTATATATATATACCTTTGAGACGTCTATAACCTTAGTCACTCCCGTAGCCATGATGGTTGCTGTAAAGCATTTGGACCTTCGGGAACCAAAAATCAAAATAAACTCTCAAAAAAATCTGAAAAAAAGGTGTTTTTTTTTAAATTATCTATACATATAATAAAACTCTAGCTGAATCCAATTTGTACATTAAATATTTTATTGAAAATCTTACATATTTATCGATACAGAAGCCGAATCTAGAAGCCGAGTTTTTAGAATTTTTCTCTTTCTGTCTGGGAACGCAACACGAAACAACCACTGGACAGATTTTGATGAAATTTTGTATGATGATAGCTGGTTATCCGGGTAAACATAGTATATGATACTTTTTACTGCGGGAAAATATCTCATCTCTGATATATCTTTTTTTTTAACGTTGGGAAATGCATTTACGCACGAGGTGTGGGACTCACCGGCAAAGCCAGTACTACCCACTAAAACCCAACAAAGCCTTCCCCCGTCTTAATGGGGCGTCGCAGGATCGCTTACGCATTCAACTACGACGCCCCGACGGCAGGTCTGCCGAAGCAGACCACAACAACCACGGGGTTGCTCCAAGGTCCACTCTGCTATCAGAGAAGTACCAGGAGCAACCCGCATGGTACACCGCCCTCCGAAGAGGGCCGCCTTTCACCGCCCACCGAAGTGGTCCACCTCCTTGTGCGTTTCTTGGCTTGGCGCCCGGTTGGGTTGCCGGGCACTACTGAGCCCCCCCACCACGACAAGGTGAACGCACGTTGGGGGGGATCTCTGATATATCTATACTAACCGTTAAAACGTAAGTAAAGTTAAATATAAATATTATTTGTTTCCCAAAGGACGACGGCGCCCCGTGCGTTATGACCTTCACATCGCCGAAGTTAATGGCTTTTGCGTAAGTAATTTATTTAGAACCAATAGAATTTTTTGGCGCGTTTTTGCTTCAATTTTACTTATGTATCGAATTCGAGGTCAATTTTAAACTAATTCCAATTTTAGTTGAATCATTGTATGACGAATGTATATTGTATTAATTTATATGAATTAGTAGCGTGATTATTATTAGGTCTTTGAATTTTAAAATTTCATTGTTTCATTTATTTGAAGTAAAGCTTTTAATTTAAATTTTCTTTATTTTAGTAAATTTTTTTGTCTGATAATCTGGCGACAGAAATATAGTTTATCATTTTTTTACCTGCTTCGTTCGGCAGTCGGATAAATACTTTTTAACCAAAAACATACACTTTAATACTGTTTTACTTCTACGGGTAAATTTTTCTTAATTTTTTTTAATAAAGTCAAAGGGCCTATGAGGTATATTTTAAATATGACATTTACATATTACATATTATTAATTACACAACAAAACGTACACCCAAATTAAATACTTATATTAAATATTTTAAAGTTGGTTATAAGATACAATTTCACCTTCCAAATGGTGTCACGTAAAGCGTAGCGTCTTACCTAATTTATTTTTCTCTTTTTGGTCAAATTACCTATCTTTGATTTTTCTTCTCTTCTCGATTAAAATATTTTTTGATCAAAACACATTTTTGGTTTATTTCCACACAGATATCTCCAAAACATACCAGTGACAGAGAGACCGAAGCACGAATTTCGTCTATACGCGATGTCAGTTACCGTGCAGCCTATAAAGAAGTTGGGCGGAGTTGAGCCCCCACTGGTGCGGGCACCGCCGGGAGTCAAACTTGTGCCTGCTACCAGTAAAGTAAGTTGAATCTTTAACAGTAAGTCTTTCGGTTTCACTCGATCGAATGCCTAACAGTAGCCTAAATGTGGGTGAAGACAAGAGACACACAAGGAGACCCATCTCGTGCGGGTTGCTGCTGGTACTTCTCTGTTCTCTAATAGCAGAGCACCTGTATGTATTCAGGTGGTATGCGTAAATGTATTTGTCAATATAAAAAAAGTATAGACACACATAGAAATTGTCGCATTTATAATTTTACTACTTTGATAACCTCGTGACATGTCTCAAGGGGATATATGCAATGTGTAGTATACACGAGTTAAAATTATACGCAAATACCTAGCGGAAGTATAATTACGTCATGTCGCAATACATACATTTTACTTCATATGTACTACTTATCAAGCATATGCTTAGAAGTAAAATGTATATAGTTTTAATATTTTTATATAAAGAGTTAAATTATCTTTTTTATATTATTCAATAAATGGACATCGACTAGAAAGATGTTTTAATCTCTCCACTAACAACCCGAATATAGCAAATGTTTAAAAATTTTACGAATCAAAATCCAAATTATAATTTTTTATAATATTTTTTTTTATAAATATAAGTTTTACAAAAGTCCTAGAAAGTTCTATTAGTCACAATCTTACAAATAAAAATTTCCACAGTTCTCAATTTCACTGCATTACTGTGCGTGGAAAATATTATTATTATTAAGTATGTGTGGAGACACAAGTGCTCTCTATTTATTTTATTCTCTGTACTTGCGCGGAGTTTTTCGGAAAAGGTTTCTGAGATACAAGAAATAAACTAGAATATATCCAAGAATTGGTTTGACGGTTTCCGTTCAAATGGTTTATCTCGTGGCAAGAGTGTTATGTTTTCCAACTAGAAGTATATTGAAATTCTTGGTATAAAATCCAGTAAAATAAAATTAATTAAAATAAAATAAAATTATAATAAAATAAATAAAATTCTTGTTCTCCAATTCAGTTTGAGGTGGAAAAAAATAATTAGGGCAATATTTCTAAAAATATATGTCCATAAAGGTGGCTGTAGACGGTAAGAAGAGACGAGCATCAGAAGGTGACAGGAAACACCCGCCCGGTAGCGCTACGTGTGTAGACGCTCTTAGAGCTGCCGAGGTAAAAGATAAAGAAGAGGGCAAATTAAAAGGTACTGTTACTGATATATTATAATGCTACTGGTATATTATGTTCGCGAAATTGCTCGCGAAGTTAGTTCAGTTAGATGTCAATCACGACGGCCAATCTCACTGAGACTAGCCAACTGCAGGAGACATTATAGTGCAGGCACAACAACAACACACAAGTCCGTTCCTTTCACTCTTGCACTCTGGGGGGCCGAAAAATCGACAAGTCGAGTGTAATCAAACTCGAACCCAGGACACCTGGATGTGCAGGTGTACATGCTGGCCATTAGACTAACGAGGCCAAAAGCATAAAATATAATAAAAAATATTATTTTTTCAATCACAAGAAAATGAATGAATGATTCCACATGAGACATGTTTTTACGATGGTCCGCTATAAAGCTCGGCAGACTTTTTAAATTTAATTGTAAGTAATAAATTGTAAGTTAATAATTTTCTCATCTCCTCAACCACCAGGGCGAAGGAACACGAGCGGGTGGTTGGTCCTCCGCGACGGCGCGCAGTTCCTCTCCGCGCGACACTCCATGTGCTGCGGGAAGTTCCCCTTCGCGTCCAGAGGGAATCAGGTAGGGTATATTACACACACACACACATTGTACATAATTATGATAAGTTGTTGTGGGTGGCTGTATTATAACATGTTTTCCCGTGGGTATAAGATAATCTCCTACAGTCAAAAGTAGCCTATGCCATTCTCCAGCTCTTGAACTATCTCCACACAAAATATCACTCCAATCCGTCACTCTGTTTTGACGTAAAAGAAAAACAAACAAGGAATTTTTACACAGTGGTATATTACTAGCAGAACCCGCGTCTTCGCTCGCGCTAAAACTACAAAAAAAAACTTAAAAAAAGGTAGTTTCATACAAACTTCCATCCTTCATTTTACCCTCTTATAGGATAAATTTCGAAAAATTCTAAAACACGCATTTATTTAATTTTATTATAGAGCATTATTACCAAATTTTAAGTAATTCTGATAAAAATCTTTTTTTGGATTGTATTGTTAAAGTATTTTCCCGTGGAAATTAGGTAAACTCCCGCGGTAAAAAGATATGTCACTCTCCAGCCCTCCAAATACCTCCATACGAAAAATCACGCCAATACGTCACTCCGTTTTGACGTGAAAGAAGGACAAACAAATACACAAACGAACAAACACACTTTCACATTCATAATATTAAGTATGGATATTTGAAACGGAATGAAAAGGCCGCGGCCTTTGTATTATTACTTTAGTTCATATTTTATCTGTGCGCTAAATTTTATCTAAATCGGTCCAGCCGTTTCAGCATAATCACACAAATACTCAAATTATATAATTTTTATTTTTTAATATATTAATATAGTATTGGTTTTTCTTGCCGGTGGTCGTGTAGTGACTCCCAGTGACATAACACAACCACCTGTAGTACAGGTGTTATGCGTATTTACGCATATCCCAACTTAAAAAAAAATTGCAAATACTAAATTGTATGCCAAGAAATCCTATAAAGCAGTACAAAATAATAATTTTAATTGTAAAATTGCTACATATTTCGTCATAGAAATTTATATTTTACTATTTTTATCTAGGCACTGGCATGTTCAATCATGGCGGTCGCGATGTCCCGAGTGGAGGACGTGTGCCGCTGGTGCTCCACCACCCTGGACCAGGTCCTAGAGAGCGGAGACCAGCTCTACCAGGACAGCTACCTCCATTATAGGCCTGGTGGGAAGATACTTGGTATTGAACAGGTAAGGAGTGGGTGTGGTGTGGTGGTGAAGGGTATGGTAGCAAGTTAAGTATGTGGCACAGAACTCGTATATATAGTTTTCGTAGCACTACTGTATAATAGTTCATAAGTTTTTATTATATTCAATTTTCCTTAATTAAGTGAACTCTCTTCTTTTTTTTAAATCTTTTTCAAGCCTTAAAAAAAGTAAAGAAAAGAAAATAAAGTGGATGGGCATTTCTTAAGTTTTTGAAGCTCTTTAAAAACGAAATGAATCTGTTTTGATTTTAAAACAAAGTATTTTTAGTACTTATGCTAGTATCACTACTATTTCTTATGGTATATGGAAGAAAATGACCTTAATCCACGGCGCCCCGACTGCTGGCCACGACCCACTCTTCTATCAGAGAGTCAGTACCAGGAGCAAGCCACTGCCTCTCAGTGCTGAGAGTACTATTATTGTCGACTGAGCCCCCCACTATGACAAGTTGAACACACATTTTGAGGGACAAATACAACTCCTACTTTCCCCCATGTTTGGATTACAAACCACCGACGGTAGATACATAATAATTAGCGTCTCAAAAGTGTCCTTAAAGTGTGCACAATTCAAAATTAAATCGCGTTTCTTTTCCAATTTTCTTTTGTTTATTGCTTTTCGGATAACAAAAATTAAAACGCACAAAGAACACTTTTAAAGAGATATTGTTTAAAAAATGTGTGTTTATGTTTTTTATATAGCAACTAGCAGAACCCTCGGCTTCGCTCGCGCTAAATCTACAAAAAAACTAAAAAATAGGTTTCATACAAACTTTCACCCCCTATTTTACACCCTTATGAGATGAATTTCGAAAAATGCTAAAATACGAATTTATTTAATTGTACTGAAAAGCATGAATACCAAGTTTCAAGTAATTCTGATTATAAATATTTTTTGGGTTGTATTATAACGTTTTCCCGTGGGAATGGGATTACCTTCCGCGGTAAAAAGTAGCTTATGTCACTCCAGCCCTTCAACTATCTCCACATAAAAAATCACGTCAATCCGTCAACCTGAAAGAAAGACAAACAAACAAACTTTTACATTTATAATATTAGTATGGATTTATTTTTGCTTTAGATTTTGCGCAAATTCTACACGCCGGGCAACTGCGTATGCCGCGTGGTGGTGTACCGCGCGCGGCACCGCGGCGCTGTCGGCGGCGACTTGCTGCAGCAGGTGAGATGTGGTAGATTGGTTATATTTATATTTTAGTGATTTAGGTTCTTCTCATAAGTTTTAATTTGAAAATATAAGTAACATCAACGAATATTGTAAAGAATTTTGGTACCATTTGTACATTTTTAAACTATTTTATAGAATTTTGAGCAGGCATTGCCTGTAAGTAGTATATGACGCCTTGAGACGTCTATAATCTCAGTCTCTCCCGTGACCATGTGCGCTGTAAAGCATTCAAAACGTCAAAATAAATCCGCGAAATAATCCGAAAAGATAGTTTTATTTAAAACTTGCTATATAATAGTGAACACATTTAGAAAAAAAAATAACATTATACATAACTTTAGGTGTCTGAATTTTTCCGCGAAGAACGTTGCGGCGTGTTGGTCGCGGGCCGCGGTGACTTCGCTGTCGCCTTGTTTAGGACGCCGAGAGGTAACTACAATAGCCTACTTAAAACAATTAAACCGTTATTTGAAATCTTGTATTATAACTTTTTTGTGGTGGTGGGGGGGGAGGGGGGGGGGGTTGTTCTCATAAACGTTCGGCAATCCAGCCGAGCGCGAAGCCACGAAGCGCACTAGGAGGTGGGCGGTGTTCCGTGCGGGTTGCTCCTGGTACTTCTGTGATAGCAGAGTGGACCGTGGAGCAACCCCGTGGTTGTTGTGGTCTGCTTCGGCAGACCTGCCGTCGGGGCGTCGTAGTTGAATGCGTAAGCGATCCTGCGACGCCCCATTAAGACGGGGGAAGGCTTTGTTGGGTTTTAGTGGGTAGTACTTGGTTTGCCGGTGAGTCCCACACCTCGTGCGTAAATGCATTTCCCAACGTTAAAAAAAATGGCTTTGTCGTGTTTCCACACCTCGTGTCCTAAGTGCATTTCCCAATGCTAAAAAAAATTATACATATGATTGAATAATTAAAAAAGAAGTCTTAAACTTTTTAAGTTAAGGCTCTACATTGTTATTTTCCAAATATGTGATAAAAATTTTGTTTGTTTGATGGATATTTTTGAAGTTTTGAAGTTGCAAATTTGTGATCAAGTATAAAATTAATAAACAAATTATAATCAAAAACGAAATTTGATGACTACCTACTGTGATTTTACCTTCGGATCTCACAGATATATATATACCTACTGTGTAATTTTGTGACAATATAATATTATAATTATAATAAGTAGGTTAAACGTTACTATGAATTTGATATGTTTCGTAAATGTTTTGTTTAATACGCACTTGCCAGGTTATTACATGTTCGACCCCGGCGACCGCGACGGCCGCGGGCGCGCGCTCGCCGCCGCGTGCAGGGGCCGCGCCAGGGCTTGCCTCTCACAATACCCTAATGTTAGTATATTATTATGTTCCCTGTGGATACCAAAACGATTGGAGCGGTTTTGATGAAATTTTGAGCCAACCTTCAGATTAGTTCTGTGGTCTTGTGTTTGGTAGCGATCGGAAGTATGAACGCGGGCGAAAACGCGGGTATTGCTGGTATATAATAATGTTACTTTATAGTTTGTAATGTGGGACATAACACCACTAGCTATGCTTACAGTTTATATCTGCGACTTTAAGTGAAAAAGGTTCTTTTATTGTAACGGGTTTTTTAAACTTTGGAAATTTTAGTTTTTTTTTAACTTAAGAGATTTTAATAATATAGCATTGTAGGATAAAATATTATCCCACAGGAACATGTACTGGGATTTAAAATCTCTCTTACTCTTTATTGTACACCCACAAAAATTAAGAAAAATTAGTACAAGAAAAAAAGAAATATGTAGAATTACAAACATTATGTACGAGACAAGAAGCGGCCTCATCGCTAAAACAGCGTTCTTTTCCAGGCAACCTTGAGGTGTTGAATTGGCAAACTGTAAGAGGGAAGGGGTGTGTACAATATTGTTTGCAGAAAAATAAAAATAATACAATAATAATAATAATGCATTTTTTTAATAGTGAATTACGTGTGCAGCAGTCAGGAGGAGGTCGAAAATAAACCGAATAATTATTTATTAATATTACATTAATACAATAATTATTTATCTTAAAACTAACGACGTCTTTACTCGAAGTGGGAATAAAGAGTGATTGGAAAAATATTACAATTAATAAAATTAGTAAATTAAAACAATGCGGCATTACAAAGCTAATTCGGGGAACTCGGCGGTGGTCACCTGGGAAACGTTCATTTATTTGGTACGTCAGCGTATTTGTAGGATTAGGGTTCCGTAACTACTGTTAATAAATTTACATATCAAAAATACATACATATATATTATGTAAACATGATAAGACATAAAATTTCCCACCTTTTATTTAAGACAAGCAGAACCCGCGGCCTCGCTTGGATTTCATAAAAACTTTCATCCACTATTTTACCCTCTTAAGGGAATTGAATTTTAGAAAACGCTAAACTAACTCAACGTAACTCATTATTTTTGCTGTACTCAATTCATACGAAATTTCATGGAAATATGTCCGAGGAATAAAAAGTTTCATACTAACTTTTATCCCCTATTTCACCACTTTGGGGGTTGAATTTTGAAAAATCCTTAGTATTAGATGCCTTCGTCATATGCCTCATATTTATATTCAATCACTGTTGTCTTTTATATATATAAATAGATACGGTCTATTATATTAGTGTGGTGTGGCCTTGTTCAATTGTGGTCTACGGATTATGTATGATTGAGTGTCATCATAATTACAAATTTTAAAATTTAATTTTGTCTATGAATTTATTGGTATATTTATATTAACATTTGTCTGATTGCATGATGTCATTCATATTTTTAATACGTATCTAATTTATATGAATAATAATGTATAAGATGGTCTTTTTAAAGTGAAACTTATTTGCGCGCACGAGAGTAAAACTTCAACGTCACGAGAAACCGTCATGGTTGCCATGGTAACCAATTGCATTAGGTTGCTATAGTAACCGTCGTTATTGTCTAAAAAATTATATACATATATGATATTCTTTCCGTTTCTATCTTCAAAGATTAGGTACTATTTTTACTAATTTGTTTTAAAATATGCCTGCATATTTATAACTAGCGGCTCACCCTCGCTTCGCTCGGGTTCATTCCTTAGAGTATATGCGATAGACGCAAGAAGCAGATAGAAAGAGATAAAAATATATTATTCTCTCTTCTTTGTGTGATATTCGTTTGAATCATATTTTTGTCTGAGTGTAACATTAAACGTTTTTATTAATGTTACAGATATGAAATATACATAACCAATAAAGTTTCACTTCCAACATGTTTCCATAGAAACTAGATGTTTTTAAAATGTATCTAATTGTATTATGTACCTAATAATAATGTATAGATATGTTCGTTTCCACAAAACCACATATCTTCGAAATTGTCTACCAATCTTCCCTTTGTAAACACGCCGTTCGTATCTTAACGCACTACAGGTTAACTAGCTCTTTGTAAGTCACTACAAACTGTAGATCTACACTACGACATACGTTTATATATTCTTATATGCATTGTAAAAGGTCTTTCTATCCATTTTGCTGCAATTTATCACTGAATTTTGCTAAAAAAAACTTCTAAAGCTTAATACTGCTGTACAATACTTTTACCAATGATTGTATACTTACCAACGTCTTACCAATGGGTGTAATTCTAGCAAAAGCTAATATTACAAATATTAATAAAACCTTTCAGGTAAAACTCTTAGTGGAAACACTAGGTTCAAACATTCCGCCGGTGATCGAAGAGACTACAAACGATGACTCCAAAGACAAAGAGGTATCCAGTTTATACTTTGCCCAGATGGTTAATCATGAATAATTTCATACATTTCGTACGCCATCTGTCGTTTGTTGATTGTACTATATTATCAGAAATCTTTGAGGGTATCTTTATCTTATTTTTTCATTTGTTGTCTTTATCCTTTCTTTTCTATAGACCACGTCATACATTAGGTAGTAACTACGTAAAAATGTACTGTACAATAAATATGCACACATCCAGTTTTAGAAAGAGACGATAGATTAGATTCAACTTTTTAGAGAACTGTCTCTGTCGTACGAATGGTATGGAAGAGAGAGACAACGTTGTGCATAGCAGTTTACCTTTACTATAATAAGGCTATATAATTATATCTACATAATATAAATCTCTTCAGATTTGTTTGTTTATTTAAACGTTCTAATCTCAGAGCCTACAAAACCGATATGATATAAAGATTATTTCTTGATAAAAGGTAAATTAAACAATGCAAACGGAGTCGCGAGCAATTGCGCGACTTTTTCTAAAAGCTACTTGTATTATATATTGCACTCGTTTTCCGCACTTTGACTCGCATTTGGTCCGTTGTACGTTAAAAGCTACTTCATATGTATTGCTTATTTTTTAATACCTTGTGTCTGTCTATAACTAAAGATTGTGAATTTTCAATATATCCCATAGGTCACTGTTATAGCAGATAAATCTAATGCAAGCAAGGAGGCAAGCAATGGGAAGGAAGAGGAGAAAGAGGTAATATCTATGTTTTTGATGGCTACCACAGTCCATACAGTCGCCTAAGAAGGCGTGTAGACACGGAAATAGTGCGGGGAGACGCGGGCGGGCAGACACATAGTTGTAGAAAATGGATTGAGCATCTCATGAAATTGACCACTCTCTAGAAAAAAAGAAAACGAACGTCTTTTATTCTAATTTGTATTTATAACTGGCATGTAAAAAATTACAATATTATACTTATTTGAATGTAAAATAGTTATAAATATCTATGTTCATTAATCGAACTTCAATTAATACAGAAGACTTCTGGCCGCACATTCGTGTAGTCTCTGTCGCGCCTATTCGCCATTTTTAGCTGACGACTGGCAAAGAAACACGCGGTCCACTCTCTATGTCTGTGAGTGCTCCCGACTGGCATACTTTTATTTATATGGCAGTCGGGAAATGGCTTTAGGGTTGACGGGTTTAAATGTAAAGCACAATAACGAGATGGCACTACAGTTCTTTAAATTTCAAACCGTTCCTGTATGCATTATTGTAGTACTATCTATGTCTACGTAATAATTACGTCAGTTGATTGCTATACATGTTATAGCATAAAAAATTATTATATATATAATACTTTCTTAGATTTACGCGAATATTTGACATTTTAAATAAAACTATCTTTTCGGATTTTGTCGCGGATTTATTTGTATTATTGTTTCCCGACGTTTACTTAATACTATATTTTATATTTTTCTTATGGTTATAAATATAATAATGGCAACACTAAATATAGATTACTAATTAATATTTTTAAAATTGTAATAATTATAAAAATAATAGCAAAAATTAAATAAATAATTTTCCATATTCAATTATAATTAAAATTATAAAAATATTTAAAGTTAAAATATTGTAATGTAATTGGTGCAATTTTCATTTTGTTAATTGTGGGTAGGCTGTCTGTAACAACTATATCTTTAAGACATGTAACACCTCAGTCTCTCCCGTGACCATGGATGCTGTAAAGCATTCGAAACGTCGGGAAACAATAATACAAATAAATCCGCGACAAAATTATATATATATATATATATATATATATATATATATATATATATATATATATATATATATATATATATATATATATATTATATATGTATGTATGTATAATTTCAATAACGATGGTTACTATAGCAACCTAATGCAATTGGTTACTATGGCAACCATGACAGTTTGACTCGAGACGTTGAAATATTACTCTCTCATACGACTATATACGTGAAAGAAACAAACACACTATTTGCGTTTTTGCCCTACTTTATAAAGGAGGAGTGCTCTATTTGGGCGTATTTGTATGATATTCATCATTCATGGGTGGTCCAATATAAAATACAAAATATTTTCCACCTCTAAGAGTGGAATTATTTTTAAAGTGATGTTAACTTTGGTGTGGTTTTTTAATTAAAATCTCATTATTTAAATTATATGTGTTATGTGTATTTTGTATGTAGTTATAGCATAAAATTTATTTTTCAGGTACATTTCGAAGAACCTGCAACATTCGCCATATACGGGATGGACGTTACAAGCTTACGAAGACTTAACCGACATGAAAGATAGATAAGACTTAACAATGCCCTCTAACGGGATCTATAGGAACTACATTATATTTGAATTTAATCGATAAATGGCACTAAAATTCTGCTCTTTGTCAGTCTGTTCATGATAAATGCTATTAACAATATTTATATTACAATAAAGCATATTTAATATGATTTTGCAAGATTGGTAGCTGACTAATATAATTAATTTTGTGATAGTGTTGTAATGTTGTGAGACCACATTTCGTTTGTTATAAAAATGGTATTTTAATAAAAAAAATGTATGATACGTTATTTTATTTTCACAATCCTATTAATTTAGCCTACAGAAATATTGCAAAGTTTGTAAGTTTGCATGTCGAGAGTCATATCTAAAACTACTGATCTGATTACAACAATTATAATTAACTAGCAGAAACCGCGGCTTCGCTTAACTACAAAAAAACTTTTAAAGGGTACTTTTATACAAATTTTCATCCCCTATTTATCCCCTTATTTACCCTCTAGGATGAATTTCCAAAAATGCTAAAATACGTATTTATTTAAGTTACAAGTAATTATGATCATAAATATTTTTTTGGATTGTATTATAACTTGTTTTCCCGTGGGAATGAGAAAATCTCTCGCGGTAAAAAGTACCGTGGAGAATTTGGTTTGTATCATAATTATACACGTGCTAATTGATTTTTACGATAAGTTCTCGTCTTCTCCTCGTTTGTACCCGTTTGTACCGCCGAGAATTTCGTTTTTATCATTATTATATACGCTCTAATTGAATTTTACAATAAGTTCTCGGCTTCTCATCGTTTGTACCCGTTTGTACCGTGGAGAATTTGGTTTGTATCATGATTATATGTACACGTGCTTATTGAATTTTACGATAAGTTCTCGGCTTGTCATTGTTTGTACCCGTTTATACCGCAGAGATTTTTTTTTTAGAGAAAAAAAAATTATGTACATATATTTATAAACATGATATATTTTTTATTTATGTATATTTTTTCAGTTCTAATAATCGTATAATCCTTTACAAACGATATACTTCCAGTTGGCATCAACAAACATGTCGTATTTCTAGGTTGGCTGTGAACGATACATACTCGTATTTTCGCACCCATATATTTCTTACCCCTTTGAGGTACAAACGATTTTAAGAGCGGTACAATCCAGTACAAACGATATGCTTCCAATTGGCATCAACAAAAATTTCGTATTTTTAGGTTGGCTGTGAACCATATATATATTCGAACCCCCATATTGCTCACCCCTTTGAGGTACAAACGATTTAAAAAGCGGTACAATCCGGTACAAACGTAGTACAATCGAATAGAATTGATAAAAACTAATTATTGTTTAGTCAGTTTCTTACTTCACATAGGTTTGAATACAATATACCTATATTTGAATTAGGCAATATATAGTTATATTTGAATAAAGCGACAATCACCAGACTACACTGACGCTCTTTGAATTAAATTGACAATTCAAAAGTACTTATAATATAAGTCTATTTGAATAAAGTTTCATTTCATTTCAGTCTTACTTATGATTCCGTCGGTTGCACTCATCTAACACGTTCCGTACAACAATACAAAACTTAGCTACGACGCATACGAGCGAAACGACGGTAAGTCGCTTATATTTTAGCTGTAATCAAAATTATTAAGTTTATCATTTTGATGTTAGGCTATTATAATATAAAAATAAATTACAAAAATTTAATACCTAAGAGCGTAAAAAGCGAACCAAAAAAGATGGGAACAAGTTGGCGAAGAACAAGGCAGTGGTAACGCGCTCGCTTGGGAAACCGAATGAAGCGGGTTCAAATACCGGGTCTCGCACCTCTGATATTTTCATGTACGAATCATGTTAGAACATGATTACCACTTGCCTTACGGTGAAGGAAAACATCGTGAGGAAACATGCATGTCTGAGAAAACCTAGCAAGTTTTAGAAAGACATGTGAAGTCCGCCAACCCGCATTTAGCCAACGTGGTGGTTGCCTTTGGCCTGATCCCCCTTTGTGTTGAAGGAAAACCCGTGCCCAGCAGTGGGACGTTAATTACAATATATCTATAAAGTTGAAGTAGCCTGGAGCCATCACCTCATTCCCAAGGTGTGCCAACTTCTACAAAATCATTTATTGTATAATAGCCTTTAGCACACAAACGTTCTTTTTTAACAATTTTTAATTTGACGATAGAAGCTTTTTTATCATTTTCTAGGATCCTGTTGTATAAGTGTATACATCGTAAAGCCAAACTTAGTATTTTACTTATATTACATTATAGGTTATTGTGTGGCTGAAACATTAGTGCTTACATTGACTTTTGTTCTTTCATTACGTTATTTTCTTTTATGATCATCGGTCTAGATTCTGGATGAATATAAACTTTAGATTCTAGAATCTAGACTTTAGGCTGTGCGTTAAAGTCAGTCAGCGTGAGTTTTTAAGTGGATGAAACGGTTAAACCTAAGGAAATTTCAAAAGATGTGCCAATGTATTTGTAATTAGAAACCAATTAAGATGTTAGTCTTCGTTTTTTGTTTCTAAAAATATTTTTAAATACTGTGAAATGGTAGCCTACGCTACTATTGACTATAGGGGTTTTAAAACTTAAATAGGAATTCGCGTTTTAGAGTATCACATGCTTTTTTAAAAAAATATATTCTTCATACATAAATCTGTAACAATTGTATTTTGTGTACTTGTAGATGCGGACTATTAATTATTTGTAATTGTTTAGAAGATGGCGTTAAATGAAGAAACGGACGTGAAGATTGACGACCATCCCCACATAATGGACAGCTCGGGAGAGTCTCAGATACAGAAGATGTTTTCTGGCTCGACGATATTCTTGACTGGGGGTACAGGATTTCTTGGAAAACTGATGATTGAAAAGCTTTTAAGGTAAGTAAAGAGAAAAAATACTTAGTTCGATTCATTTATAAAGTCAAGCTATTAAAAGTTTTCGACTGCTTTACGTTATTATTTTTTTAATATTCATTACTTGCGGAAAATTGATTAAAGATAAAAAAAAGATCAGAGCTCAGAGCACGCCTATAAAGAGAAAAAATGGTATTTCATAATTATATGCCTTCCTTTATATACTCACGTAAATGTGAACAACTTTTTAGTTACTTATTAGTTTAAAAGAATCAATAGAAAAAAGTAAGGGAAACAACATACCAACTCAAACCAAGTACGAAAAATTTATAAATATTTTACAAACAGAAACCAAGAAAGTAAATCCAAGAAGCAAAAAGGTCATTTCTGATAAGACACAACAACTACTACAGGAGAGGAAAGAACTATTACAAAGAAAAAAAAACAAAAATCAGTCGCGGTAAAATAGCAGAAATTAGCAAAGAAATAAATGAAAATATAAGAAAAGATAAGAAACTAAAACGACAAAATACATTGGAAAAACGTATCGAAAATGCTAAGGGAACAAAAAAGGCTTTTAGGGAATTGAATTCAAAAAAATATTGAATGCTAAAGGTGAAGAGTAAAGACGGAAACTATACGAATAAAAGATTAGAAATACTTAAAATAGCTACAGAATATTACCGAAACCAAAGTAAGCACCTAAAAGAAGGGACTACAGACAGAAACATAACAGACTGAACCGACACCAAAAATATTAAAGGAAGAAACAATAAGAGCAATTAATACACAAAAGAGAGACGAGACCTGGAAAAGATCAAATAAAGAACGAACTACTAAAATCTACCCTACCTATCATTGCCCCTACAGTAACAAAAATAATTAATGTAATCATAGAAACTGAAAATATTCCTCCAGATATCCAAATAAACTATAATTCTACTCCATAAAAAAGGAGATAGTTTGTTCTATTTTTCTTCTTACATCCCCCTGACTCGGATTTTTAGCATTTTTTTCTATTTACAGACACTCGATATCTACAGTTTTATTATATGTATAGATTATAATGACTGTATGGCAAATGTCTACCAAAAAGCTAAAGGAACTTCTTTCCGACTGGGGGGTCCATAGACCTCACATTTATTTTTTTATTTTTATTGGAAAGTCATGAGTAAGCAGCAAGAGAAAGGAGATCCGCAGGCGAGGGCGAATAAGTTTAAAAGATACGTTTTTTTAATTTACAGATCCTGTCCTAATATTAAAAAGCTATATCTATTAACGAGAGCGAAGAAAAATAAAAATGCTATGGAAAGATTGCAAGAGCAGTTTGAAGATTTGGTAAGTTTGACAACACATTTGACTTAGGCAGAGGTAGCCCAGTGGTAATACGCTCGCTTGGGACACCGAGTGAAGCGGGTTCAAATCCCGGGTCTCGCACCTTTGATATTTTCATGTGCGAATCATTTCTAACATGATTACCGCTTGCCTTACGGTGAAGGAAAACATCGTGAGGAAACCTGCATGTCTGAGAGAACCTAGCAAGTTTTCGAAAGACATGTGAAGTGCGCCAACCCGCACATGGCCAGCGTGGTGGACTATGGCCTGATCCCCCCACGTATTGAAGGGAGGCCCGTGCCCAGCAGTGGGACATTAAAAAGGGCTGAATACATATTTTTTTATAAAGTTAAATTATAAATTACAATATTTCTATAAAATTGAAGTAGCCTGGAGGCGATCACTTCATTCTCAAGACGTGCCATTTTCTATAAAATCATTAATTGCATAATCGCCTTTAGCACACAAACGTTCTTTAACATTTTTTTTTAATTATGCGATAGAAGCTTTTTGAACATTTTCTGGGATCGTATTGTATAAGCGTATACATTGTCCATAAAAAGAATTACTGACTCTGTGTAGACGAGTCACAGGCATTACAAGTTTGTGTTTGCTCCTAGTATCAATGTTATGCATGTCACATGTCAATAAGTGAAGTATCATCAGCGAACAATACTATCTCATGTTTGTCCTGTACAAAAAATGGCAAATCATTAATATAAATTAGAAAGAGAAAGGGGCCAAGAATAGATCCTTGTGGAATGGATATCTAATATAATCAAAATCAAAAATATAAATAATTATTATTTATTTATATTTTTTGATTATTTCTAGGACATGCCATCAGAAACATTAAATATTTTCAAAAATCTTATAAAGTTTTGATCTAAAGACCGATTTTAGCAATCATTAACATAGGTATTATTTATTGACAGACTACTAGGATAACAGGAAAACTTGTTTGTCTGATAAAAAAATATCAAACGAATTGGTCACAACTTTAAAACTGAATTTTCATTTTTTTCAGCTGTATGATAAGTTAAGAAAAGAAAACCCAGATTTTATGCAAAAAATCGGTATTATTGAAGGTGACATGTGTCAAATTAATCTGGGCATGAGTGATGCAGACCGAGGCAAGCTTATACAAAAGGCAAGTATAATTAACTGTCTCGTTGGTCTGTCGGCATGCACGGCTGCAGATGCGGAAGTTTTAGATTCGAGTACCGGGTCGGGCCAAGTATAGTTACTAAGTTATGAAATTTTCAGTAAGAACCTTTTGAGTTGGGAAATTGACGGTCCGTATCCCCATCCTCGGAGAGCACGTAACTTGTTTTCAATCTGTCGGAAACGCTTTTTGTCTTACCAATTCTAGTCTTTATTTAACTCTTCAAAAAAAGGGAGGTTATCAATTCGAAACGTATGTATGTAATAATAGGAGTTAAAGTATGAAATTGCTGTTTTATTGTAATAGGTACTTCGTATTGACATAGAACCTTCATGGTTTGAGATTTTTGAGTGAAGAACCTATGTAGTTCTTTTTTTTAAATGTGCAACATTCGATTATCGACTTTCAGTTGTTTTTTTATTCAGCATAGACAAGAAAGATGGATACTTCGAAAATTCGAGTGATTTTTGAACACAAGTTCCGACGCGGAACTAACGCGGCAGAAACAGCTCGCAATATCAATGTTGCGTTTGGAGAGGGAACTGCTAATGAACGCACGGTGCGATTTTGGTTTAAACGCTTTCGTGATGGAAACTTTGATTTGAAGAACGAACCACGTGGACGACCGCCCACACAGGTGAATAACAATGAATTGAAAGGATGGTGGAAGCCGATCCGAAACAAACTACCCAGGAATTTGCGGCATGGTTTAACGTTACCTTACCAACAATATTGACTCATTTGCGGCAAATCAATAAAATAAAAAAATATAAAAATGGGTGTCTCATGATTTGACTGATCTGCAGAAAGAAACGCGTGTTGAAGCTTGTCTTGCCTTGTTGAATCGATACTGACATGAAGGAATATTGGATCGAATTGTGACATGCTATGAAAAGTGGATTCCTTACGATAACCTTAAGCGAAAAATGCAATGGCTGACCCCAGGTCAAACGCCGCAACAGTGTGCTAAAGCAAAGCTTACCAATATAAAGGTAATGGTAACTGTTTGGTGGCCTCAGCATGGTGTTATTCACTATAGATTTCTCACGCTTATTGCGTGACCAGATCGGCAGATGTCTACTGTGCCGAACGCCGAACAATGATAGCAAAACTAGCAGTGAAAGTAGTACTAGTATTTCAACTTAGGGAACAGTAAAAAATATAGCTCCATGATAACGCGAGACCTCATACAGCACGAGAAACCGTTATAACTCTACAGGAACTGCAATTAGAAACCATTCGTCACCCTAAGTATTCACCAGACCTTGCTCCAACGGACTACCACTTTTTTCGTGATATGGACAATTTTCTACGAGATAAAAAGTTTTCTTCTCAGGAGGCAGTACAAAATGCTTACACAAAGTTTGTCGAATCTAGATCACCAGAGTTCTATTGCAAAGGTATAAATGACCTTCCTATTAGATGGCAGCAATGTATAGATAATAATGGTAATTATTTTTATAAAATAAATATGTTAAATAAAAAAAAACGAAATTCAATTTTTTTGTACAAATCGGCAATTTCATACTTTCACCCCTGTTATTATTGGAACTGCAAAATTTTCACGTATTATCATATTATGTATTTATTAGGACTTCCAAACAAATATACAAAATTTTATAGGTGTATGTAATGTATGTTTGTCCACGAGAACTACTAGTAGGATCGTGATCATCCTTTTTTATTTACTTACTTTTATTTCAACTTAGGGAACAGTAAAAATTTCATCAATATTGGTTCAAATTATTGTTTTTATGAAATGGACGTGTAACTAACTAAAACTTAACTAGTTTTTGTACGAGTAATTACTGCTTATAACAAAAACTATTTCAGTTTTTACTTAAAACTAAAAATAACAAAATTAAAAAGTTAAAATAACTTACTAAAGATTTAATTTATTACACCTCTCATGCAAATCTAAAACCTTTAATATTAATAGAATACTATTATTTGTATGTGCTACCTATTGATAGGTTTGAAGTCGGTGCCAAGCCACCGACTCTAAACCTATCAATTGAAAAGAAAACCTCCTTTTTGAAGTCGGTTAAAAAATACTAAAATAGTAAACAATAGCTGAACGGGGGTTATGATTTACTACATATCCCTAATCAGATATTTTCGAAGTCGGTGCCAACCGACAATAATTTAAGATGTGAATAAACAAGGTATGAACTCTAATTATAGTTAAAATACTAGCGGCTCACCCTCGCTTCGCTCGGGTTCACCTCTAGAAAAGCACAAACAGATCTTTCCCACGGGAACCGTTCATTTTTCCGGGATAAAAATAAGTAACCTGTTGTTTGACCTGCAATATAAGGTATCAGCATGCCTAATTTTACTAAATTAGGTGCATAAGTTGTTGTGCACTGAGCTGTATAAGTTACTATATTTTTTAACTATCCCACGGGAACTCTTTAATTTTCCGGAATGAAAAGTATCAAATTTTATTTAAATAGGTTCAATAGTATCGGAGATTAGCCCGTACAAACAGACAAACAGACAGAGAAACAAAAAAATTGAAAAAAAAACTGGATTTGTTCTATTTTTCTCCTTACGGGAAGAGAACTGACTCGTTTTTTAGCGCTTGTTTTTAGCGTTCGTTTTGAACGCGGGCGGAGCCGCGGGCAATGCTAGTAAATTCTAAATTCTAATATATAAAATTCTCGTGTCACAGAGTATGTAACAAAACTCCTTCGAATTCCTATGAAATTTTGTGTGTGGTCTGAGAATAGAACGTAAACTATTTTTCATATCCCTAATTGAGAAGGGTGGTTCACCACACCGAAATTTTTTTTTTTTGTTTTCTTTTTAATTTAATTTTTTTTAATGATTCGTCACTAAAAAATACATACAAAACTAAATTTTTATTAGGAACGATCCCGAGCGGAGCCGAGGGTGAGTCGCTAGCCTTTGTATATATTTTTTTTGTTTTTTTTTTTCTCAAACTAAATGAGATTTTAAAAGATATAGATATATACGTGTTTTCGAGTTTTTTTGCGGGGTAAAAATAGATTGCAAAAATAGATCTTCCTCTATTATACTTATATACAATATATTGCTATTATAGAGTAGCACAAAGGCAAAAGTTAAGGACCTCAGGATGTACCAGAGCGCTAGTTTATTTCCCAGGTCGAGTTTATTTTCCACGGCGCCGCTACAGTTCGCTTAGATGAAGCGTTAAAGACAGCTGTGGAGATCAACGTGCGAGGGACGAGGGAGGTGCTACAGCTGGCACGTGCATGCACCAAGCTACGTGCACTTGTCCATATTTCTACCGCTTACAGGTGCATTATTTGTTTGTACATTACATGTTTTATCGCACTACTATATTAAATTCGAAAATTATCTATGTTTGTCACTCTTTCACGCTGAAATAGGTAGACGGATTTGATAGAATTTTAGCAGACAGATAGTCTATGACATGGATTAACATACAGACTAATCTCTATAAATAAAAATGAACATCCGTATGTTTGTCTTCTATGCGTTCCTAAATCAATGGTCCGATTATGATGAAACTTTGCCCTGCAAAGGTACTTACCCAAAAAAAATCTTTGGACGTTTTTCTTTTATGCGTCCCTAAACTATTCAAGCTTAGCGACGCACCCGACCCCAAACCGACCGACCCGACCGAATCGAAGGGAAGTCGCTAGTAACAAATATTTTAGTAGAATCGATCTAACAAGTATTATTCGAATAGGAATAATAACGGTATATAAACAATTTTTATAGGAATACATCGTCCGACCTGGCTAACATAAGTCTTAGCACTAACGTGCATATCTGAAATCTACAGGATTTGAAAAATTCCATTAATTAATACTTTCTTAGATTTACGCAAATATTTGACTCTAGCAGAACCTGCGGCTTTGCTCGCGCTATAACTAAAAAAATCTGTCGATTTAGCTATTAGTAATAATGTCTGGAAGTCTGCCCAGTTTGTGGACATTTATGATAACTGCTCCGCTCCCTTGAGTAGTAGCATGATAATATTATACGAGTATAGCTCATAGCCTTACTTAACAAACGGGTTGTCTAATGTACAAAGATTTTTTCAAATCAGATTAGTAGTTACTGACATTAGCGCATTCAATCAAACAAACAAACATATATAACTCTTTATAATATTATAGTATAGATTTTAAATAAAACTATCTTTTCGGTTTTTTTCGTATTTTGATTTTTGGTGCCCGACGTTTCGAATGCTTTAGAACGCACATGGTTACGGGAGAGACTAAAGTTTTAGATGTCTCAAAGGTCATTATAATAATAATGTCGTCCTGACCGATTCCGGCCAATCTCATTGAGACTAGCCAACTGCGCAGGAGATATATTAGTGCAGACACCACGTGCACTCTCTATTCCTGTCACTTTCATACTCCTGTGGTACGATTACTCGACACGACCAGTGAGAGTTAAGGCGCAGGATCGACTGCTTTACGTGCTCTCCGAGGCACGGGGGTGAAACACCGCCAACTTCCCAACTCCGGGCTGTTACTAAGGCTTACTATACAGAAAGACTAAATAACTAAATTGGGCCCGACCCGGGACTCGAACCCAGGACTTCCGGGTGTGCAGCCGTACATGCTAGCTACTACACCACCGAGGCAGTTTAGGTCATTATATAGGTACTTGTTACACACCGTGCCAGTACCTACATTTTTTTCTATTAGTTATTCCCATTTTTTTAGTAACTGCCGCTTAAGTGAGATCGACGAGAAGTTTTACGACTGCAACCGCTCTGGAGAGAAGCTCATTAACCTGGTTGAGAATATAGATGAGAATACTTTAAAGAAGGTGACGTTTGGGTGAGTATAATAGTAGTCATGCGAGCGACGAGCCTATAAAGTGTGTCTATGCAAAATAACTAACCCTTATAGATAAATACACATACATACAATACACAATGTTACTAAATCGGCAACTATTAATTAAATAAAAAAAAAATACAATATATTTATCAGACAATAGCCAAGGTTACCATGGCAACATGGCAACGTATTCTATCTCATTCTTTCGCCGGCTTAATCCTATATGATATTTATGTGTTTGTCTCTTTATAGTGTCGCATTTCCGTTTCATCGAGTTTAAAATCACAACGATTCTAAAGAAGTTTCACTTCAAAAAGTCATTTAGAACGACATAATATGTATATATTTAAAGACTCATCCAAAAATACTTGCAATTTAAATACAAAGTTATGTACACTAATATTTACAGGTATTCTTCACTAGCATTATATGGACTACAGTATTATCTAGCGATTCAAATGAGATACTTATCTAAAGAATTTTGGCCATATAGCTTCAGTGGTTTTTTAGTGATGTATAAACACTAACAACCCTTGTAATTTCGTCATATCAGTGTGTCCCTAACACGTGGATATGACGCAATTACAAGGGTTCAGCTTTTGTGCCTTTTGGTTAAGAAACCCTGAAACGTTATCTTTAAAATTAACTGAGAAGCTTAGCCGGATTTTAATAATTATTTTATTGTTCTAAGTGCTCGAAATCTTTCCTTACTCGCCTCGTTTCGCCTTAACGTTTATTTGTTGTTGTGTTTGTTAGGACAATGTCTCCTTTTCAACCGACTTCCTCAAAAAGGAGAAAGTTCTCAATTCGCCTGTATTTTTATAATTTTTTTCTGTTTGTTACCTCAGAACTCCGTCATTTATTAACCGATTTGGACAATTTTTGTTTTGTTTGAAAGTGTATACTTCCAGATTTCAAAAATTTCAAAAAAAAAATACCAACCCTAAGGGTGGAAAAATAGCTAATGATGAATTTAACCTACTTCTAATTGTCATATTGACTTGAAACTTTGCAAGTTTTTCTATTTCCCTTGATAGTACAGTGGTTCGGTATTGTTGACCTGATCTGATGGTAAGGCCAGAAGGTGGATAGGTGGAACTCTTCAACGACTAATAGTAGATACTTTGAGTTTGGGCTTATTTTGTTTGATTTGATAAGCCTAACACGTTAGAATTCTAACTTTGCTACTACTTTCTACACTAAAAAGGGAAAAATAAAAACTTTTTAACAAAAAAATAAAAACCGACTTCAAACAAAAGCACTAAAAAGTAAAAAATAACTGATTGGTAGTTTTTATTTACTATACATACCTAATCAAATATTTTCGAAGTCGGTGCTTCAGATGATTCTCAGAAATGAGATATTTTCCCACCGTAAAAAGTATCTTATATGTTGACCCGGATAGACAGCTATCATCATACCAAATTTCATCAAAATCTGTCCAGTGGTTTTCTCATGATGCGGTAACACACAGACAGACAGACGGACAGACGGACGGACGGACGGACGGACGGACGGACGGACGGACGGACGGACGGACAGACAGAGAGACAGACAGACAGACAGACACAAACAAAAATTCTAAAAACTGTAGATTCGGACTCTGTATCGATAATAATGTCTATTTCAATTAGATTTTCCAAAAAATATTTAATGTACAGATTCGACTTTGTTACAATTTTATTATATGTATAGATGAGTGAATAATCTCTAAATCAATAAAGTTTTTATAAAAACAGAATCCAAAAGTTGTTAATGTCTTAGGTCGTTATAATGATGTTATTTTTTGTAAATTCTTCAGGCCGTTACGGGTTTGATTGAAATTCGGATATATCAAATAAAATGGAATAAATATTTGATAAAACTTATTAAAACGTGTTTTGCTTTTCTAAGATTGATAGGTGATTACCCGAACACATACGTTTATTCGAAATCGGCAGCGGAAGACATCATCCAGAAATATTCTCAAGGACTCCCGGTTGCCATAATTAGACCTTCCGTAGGTAAATATAACATAATATGTATAATATTCAATACTAGTACTGCTACTAGGCAGTAGGTAACGCGCTCGCTTGGAACACCGTGTGAAGCGGGTTCAAACCACAGGTCTTCCACCTCTGGCATTCTCTTGTGCGAATCATTTTCGACATGATTACGCACGTGGCGGGCGTTACAGTGAAGGAAAACATCAAAAGAAAACCTGCATGTCTGTGAAAACCTAACATAAAATATACGAGTGAATTCCACCAACTCACACTTTACCAGCGTGGTGGGCTGTGGCCTGATGTCCCTCGCATTGAAAGGAGGCTCACCAGTGTCATGTTGTAAAAAAGAGCTGTACGCCTACATTATTTGACACTAGCGACACACAATTCTATTCAACAAAATATGTTTTTTAGGTTTTTTTCTAAACAGATCGATTGTTTTCAACCGATTTAAAAAAAAGGAGGAGGTTTTCAATTCGGTTGTATTTTTTTTGTTCGTTACGTCACTTATTCGTTAGAGCTCCGTCATTTATTAACCGATTTGGACTTTTTTTAAATGTACACTTCTGGTTAAGTCCCACTTAAGTACCAATAAATATATATATATATATATATATATATATAAACATCAATTGCTGTTCGTTAGTCTCACTAAAACTCAAAAACGGCTGAACCGATTTGAATCTTTCTTTTTTGTTTTGTTGGAGGTATATCAGGGATGGTTTAAATATAAAAAAATAGGAAAAACCCATAAGAATATCTGGAAAATCAAAAAGTTCCGAACTGGTTATTTTGTATGGGAATCACTACTTCGGATTACTTTCATAATGGTCGACCTACCATCTACAACAATACGTCAAGTTTAAGTTAGAAAAAAATAATATATGTATATAACGGTATATATATAGTCTATCTATTCTATACTAACCGTTAAAACGTACCTAGAGACGAACCCGAGCGAAGCGAAGGTAAGTCGCTAGTATTTTATAAAAATACTTTCTTATTACTTTGCTATTGCTACATCTACATAAAAAAAGAAAAATAAATAAAAACTGACTTTAAAACACTAAAAAATAAAAAATAATTGAATTGGAGTTTTCATTTACTATAGATACCTAATCAGATATATTTGAAGTCGGTGCCAGCCGATTCAAATCGAAGCAAATATGCATACATTAAAATTTTATGAATAATATTTTAAACTATAATTAAAGTTCATACCTATTTAGTCATATTTACCTATTTGATATTCATATCCTAAAGCATTGTAGGCTTCATTGTTTGAAAATCGCTTGACAAAAAGAGGAGAAAGAGGTATGAACTCTTTTGTCTTAGCTTATTTATACAAAGGTGTTTTAATATTTACATCCAGGACATTATATTTTTTTGCTTTAATCAGATAAAAGTATATTATTATTGAATAATATTTGTAACTATTACGTAAAAATAGAAATACTTAAAAAGTCTATAAAGGCTCAATATATATTTGGTTACAGTGATATCGACGGCGCATGAACCTGTGCCAGGATGGATCGACAATGTATATGGGCCTACCGGTGTAAGTATACATACAAGTTAATGTATGTGTATACATCAATATACCATAATATACCTTAACGTGATACTTTTCTCTCAGTTTGGTTATGACAATTATTGCCTAACTAATGGAGTAGCTTTCCTGCATATACATACGTACATGTACATAAGTACTAATGTTTTGTAGTCCCAAATAGGTCAAAAATATTTTCCTGGCCATACATGGTTCTATCAGTACTTCTCTGGTATAAAGATGATCGGAGAACACGTAAAGATATCATACTTATTTATATTTATCTAATTGCTTCAGGTGGTGTTAGGAGCAGGTGTCGGCCTCATACGCGTGCTGCAAGGCAACCCACAAGTTACAGCAGATTTGGTGCCAGGGGACTACGTAATAAATGGAGTAATAGCAGCGGCCTGGAAGACCGCCAAAGACTATCCTGGAAATTATAAACATTCTCCAGTTGGTAGTTCGCCTATTGTATACAATTATGTGTCTTCGGAGCAAAATCGTATTACTTGGGGTAAGATTTACGAGTAATAGTTTTTGCATTGCAGTAGTATTTTGTACGAGCGTAAGGATTAGAGATTCCATCGTCATTTTAGATATAATAAAGTTAATTAATCTTTATTATTGTACAAGGATCTAAGTTCAAGTTCTGGGACTACTAAAAGTCTCAAGATATTTTGCTAAGAGTTTTGAGCACGATCTTGAAGATTTTCACCTCGGGGATCACAGATTATAATCTCTGAGGGAGGACAATAGTAGTCAGTAGTTATGGAATAGGGATCTAGAAGATTTTCATTACAAAAATGTTCCAGCACGTAGTTAGTTTTTAACTTGTCCTAAGGTACATACATCAGCCAAGATCCATCTTAAAGTAATTAGGAATTTCCCAAATAACTGTCAACTGCCTAGACGTAGGAACTTTGTAAACTATGGAAAACTAGTCTCTTTGATTAGTTTACCAAACGCCTGCTGTCTCTATAATCATAAATCGAAACTTACGTAGATGGAGGCTAGATAGACTCCCACAAATTGGCAAAATGTCGTATATCAGGTAGTCGTTTAAAGGTGCCTAGAAAACTTGTGAATGAGTTTCTTCATTATTAAAAAAATCATTCCCACTGAATTGTTTCTCCAGTTTTTTTCGAATCTGAGTCTGTTTTCTTCTCGTATGTGTAATAATAAATAGATTCATGATGTTTAGTACAAAATATATTTTTTAAATATATATTATGTAGATTGAGCATTTCTACCCTTTAGGCCAGGTTGCTCATGCACGCGAAAAAGATTTTTTAATATATTGATTTCCAATGGGACAGATAGTTTTAGAGCATTGTGCATTCAATTAAACAAATGTTACATTTGTATTATTTGTTTACAGGCAAGTTCATGAATTCTGTAGAAGTATATGGATACCAAATGGTGTTCATGCAAAGCAAGTGGAAGTACATGTTCCGTTTTACGTCTTCAAAATTCCTATACAACTTTTACTGCGTATTACTACATTGGATTCCAGCTTACATAATAGATACCATCGCTATTACGATTATGAAAAAGCCTATGTAAGATCTTTTTGTGTAAAATTAATTTTTGTTCATTCGTAAACTGTCAAATTATTTTATGACCACGGCAAAGCCCAAAGGAGGGTTATGTGTTTCTTCATTATGTATGCATGTTCAATCCTATGTTCCCTCGAAATTACTAAACGGATTAACCGATTTTGATGATTCATAAGTCGTTAGATTCGTATTTATATTGCGAATGTCTTAGGCTATGCATAAATAATCTATTCATATAATAAATTTGTAAGTAAGCCGAATCTGTACATTAGAATTTTTTTTAGAAAATCATATTGAAATAGACATTATTATCGATACAGAGGCTGAATCTAAGGTTTTTAGAATTTTTGTCTGTCTGTCTGTCTGTTACCGCATCACAGAAAAACCACTATAGGGATTTTGATGAAATTTGGTATAAGAGTATACTAATATGTAAAACCTAAGAATTTGGTTTTTGGTCATCTGAACGCGGGCGGAGCCGCGGGCAATGCTAGTTAATAATAAATGGCTGTTTCAGGCACTAATTGTGTTTTAGTAAAGTAATTTGGAATAAGAAATTATTAAATAAAACTTTAAATGTCTAACTACCAGCCAAAACCAAAAAACTGAGAATAAAAAAATAAATTATAAAAATAAAAACCCGACTCCAAAAAAGTGTACTAAGAAGGTGAGAACAAGTCGACGAAGAATCATACATAGTATAATGCAGTCGGAAACATAATTACATCTCGCAGCAAAAATTAAACATGTATACCATTTTACCATTATCATCTATTTTTCATTTCTTTTATTAAATAATAGCGACTCACACTCGCTTTGCTCGGGTTCGTCTCTAGCTTGTTTCCCCATACAAATTTTCATGCCATTTTCAACCCCTTAACGGATGATTTCCGGGATAAAAAGTGTCCTATGTCCTTTCCAGGGTCTCAAACTATCTTCTTACCAAATTTCATCTAAATCGGTTCAGTAGATCCAGAGATTACCCCCTACAAACTCACAAACTTTACCTCTTTGTAAGATTAGTATAGTTACATAAACATCAATAACAAATTCATAAAAGTACCGCCATCCATTGACAATTGTTTCAACTAATACTTCTTTGTTTTCGAGGAGACCTTACAATATAATAAAGATAATTATTTATTTTACAGGTTAAAAAAAGCTTATAAAAAGATCGGAAAGTTCTCAGAACTTACCAGCTTTTTTGTCACCAGAGAATGGAAGTTTCATAACAAAAACACTCTAAACCTTCTAAAGGAGCTAGATGACGCGGACCGACATATATTTAATTTTGACATAGGAAGCTTTAAATGGGAGGAATATTTTAAGGATTATGTAAAAGGGATCCGCTTATATTTGTTAAAAGATCCCTTAGAAACGATCCCTCAGGCCAAAAAGAAGTATTTAAAATTAGTGTTGGCTCATTATTTCTTGGTCTCTCTCGTTGTCTTTGGATTATTAAAACTTATGTGGTTTTTAATGAAACTGTTAATGTAGAGTTCTTGTAATATATTTTATGTAATGCGTTTTTTGTAATATTTAATTTGGTCTGTCAGTCATCTAATACTTGTACTTGCTATCTCTGATCGTTAGAGCGATCAGTTCTTTTAAACTATTCAATAAATTTGTACTAATAGCGACTTTTTTAATATTCCTACTTTGTATTAAATATGCTTAACGGAATAGAAAACAATAATTACACTCACTTTACTAATACACCAGAGGTCTTTAAAATGGCAGATGTGTATTATACGTACGTCAGTAGTTGTGTCACAAAATGACACGCCAGTGGTTAAGGGTTAATGCTGAATAAAATATTTTGAATTTGAATAATAATAGTAGAACAGAAGGCCTAGAGTCTAGACAAGTGGCATAAACGCTAGAAGATTAGAATAATCAATGTATGGGATTGACATATGATTACGACTTCAAATTTGATTCAACGTATCGAATTTTATTCAAATATTAATATTAATGTTTCATTATTATGAAATATAATAATAAAACATGTGTTTTATCTATATTTTATACATTTCTCTAAATATAGAAAACGTAATATTGCTATTTAATAAAACTTATGATTATTGTAAATGTTCATTTGCAAAAAGTATGCACCCGGCCTAATTAAAAATCTATACTAATATTATAAAGAGGTAAAGTTTGTGATCTTGTGAGTTTGTAAGTTTCTGAGCTTGTGACGTTGTAGGGGGTAATCTCTGGATCTACTAAACCGACTTTCAAATTTCTTTTACCAATAGAAAGCCACGTTCTTTCTGAGTGTCATAGGCTATATATGAACCCGAAAAATGAAGAGGCTTTTTGGTGGTAGTCGGATTTGCAAAGTAAGTCGGAGAAAAAACGGTCAAAGAAAACGTTTCTTACGAACGCTGCCTTAACGATGAGAGATATTGGATTATGTTCTAGAGAAAAGTTATAGAACTTAATAATGCCTACAAAAAAGTCAGCGACAGCACATGTCTAAACTTTTATATTTAAGTCACAAAAAGTAGTCTTTTTATATTAAAAAAATAATTTAAATCGGTAGGTCATGTTTATTGGTCATATTATCAACAATTATGAATTCTTATCAAAATAAGTAAATTTATCGTCTAAAATGTTTAAAAAAAAAGACTTTTCCCTTTTACTGCATATAATTTGGACAATTGGTTAAAGAGATAATACAACATATTCGTAGGTATGGACGAACCCGAGCGAGCTGTTTGTCTGTTTTTCTGTTTGTACCGGCTAATCACCGAATCTATTGGACCGATTTAAATGAAATTTTGCATAGTGGTACCTTATATTCCCAACCAACAACAAATCCAGTTTTAAAAAAAGAGGACAACATAGCGAAAAAGAGGACAGCATAGCGAGAGATATAGTTTTAATTGACCGACTTCAAAAAAAAAAAAGGAGGTTCTCAACTCGACACGTATAAATATATTTTTTATTCTTTGACCTCTACTTACTTTGGTACTAGGTACCTACTATATCTATACTAAAAATAGAAAAAAAATTAAAAAAAAAAATTACTTCATTAAATAAAATGTGTGTGTAAATGATTGTTCAACTTATGAATTATTTTATTATATACATTGTTGTTAATTTTTAATTTTTTATTGTTATTCTTTTTATTAATTATAAATTTTTATTCATATTCGGTATTGTAAAGATTAAGAAAAAAGTTTAAATTCATAAACATTCTTTATATGCATAATATAACATTAGATCTAATACTATTATTATAATATAACTGAATATGAAAGGGTTTTATTAATAATTAATAAATACCTACTATCTTAAATTGTTTTTAATTGCATTTTTTTGTAAGCGCAAGGAACGAAAGGCTTTTTTATTTATATTTGAATTAATTTCATCAACTATTGTTTTTTTCATATTTGTTATTTCGAGTTTTTGTATTTTAATATCATTTTGAGTATTTTTTTATACTTTCATAATTTCCTCCATGATTATTAATTAAAATATAAGTATAAATAAAATAAATCAAAAGTTTGTATGTATCAATACCAATAACTTACTAAGGCCCTCTATTGGATGTTGTAGAACATTACGTTTTGGTTGATGCGACTAAGTGATGTTGTTTAATCGATATTCACTATGTGAATATACTACTGTAGTGTTACCGGGTTACGATAGATGGCGTTGCATTGTAAATATATTATTTTAGATAGAAATAACTCGTTGAATAGCGTTTGATGTAAGTACCTTATAAATTATTCTACGAATGCCCTCAATGATAAGCTTTTATTAAGTAATTGTTTTGTTTTCATTTGGGAATTATTGTGAAACTTTAATCTAAATTGGAAATATGTACGTAGTTATTGTTTTACATGCCAAGTAATTCTTCTATAATTCCTTGCGAGGTCCTTTTCGTTCCATTGTATATAACCATGGAGTCTTACTACGAACAAAATAAAAATTAGTTAAAAAATATTATAACAGGTGGCGTAAATGTATCGATTTGTTTTCAATGTTCACTTAAAATTCCAAATATAAAAAAAAACTAATTTTAAAGAAATATTTAAAGTTAGGTAAAATTATATAAAGAATAAATAGTATTTTAAAAATAATATATAAAATTCAATTATATTCTTCTATTTCTGGCGCCAATAATAGGTACTACATTGTGATAGCACGATCTTTGATAATAATTATGTATACTCTGTTCACAGATGGCGCCCAATATAATATAAAAATTGATAAATGTAATTAAATTATTTTGCTTTACTTTGATACCGATATAGCTCATAGGTCAATTTCGTTATTTCTCGTTTAAATTTTTTTGCGTTAAAAAAATAATAATATTTATATACATAAGTCTATGCAATATATAAAACACGAAATGAAATGTTATTTATAATAAAACAAGAAAATAATGTTTCAAATTGGACACGGTAGATTTAGATTTTAAAGATACACGCATTTAAATAAAAAAAACGTATGTAATATTACCGTGACTCAAGTCTCTAAGACAATATTCTAAGCAATATAATTTGTAATTGCCATAGTGACCTTGAGAACTTGAGAGCGCGGATTAGCAAAGTCAAATATTTGTATGGACTGGACTATCTGTACTAGTATAGTATTATATGATCTGTGGTATAATTGAATTTGGTTACGATTAGCACAAACCACGATTTTAACCACTAAATATATTTTTATTAGGTTGTAACCATTACCTTCAATTGTACTCATTTCTTGTTAACTTATTTTTACTTAACACTGTTTGTTTTGCTCGGCCGGGGCTGCTAAAGCTTAAAACTAAGGGCGGGGGCCGGGGCATATTATGCACATAGACTATACAAACATACTGCGTAATGCGTTTTATTTGTCATCCATCAGATAATGCGTATGTTTCGCGTCATGACTCATGAGATGAGGTACAAGGCTTAGCAATTTATTATTATTTTTTAAGCTATTGCATAGCTTCTATCGCGGGCCTTGAGCGTGGGGACCGAATCCAGAAATTCCGTAACGAAAAAA